GGATCACTTCTGAGTAATTCTTGCCATGGCCCAGATTTTTTCATCATTCAGTCTGTTGTAATGATGACCTGTGATCTTTGATAGTACTACTGTAATTGTTCTGAGGCATCATGAATCACACAGATGTGAGAGTGAATTTCATTGACAAGAACTGTTTGGTTAGCCAAGTCGTTGATGCACAGGTAAATTTGCAAATTTAAAGTGCTACTCCAGTGAATACATAAATCATTAGAAAGCAACACAGTTTTCTAGCTGATTGGGACAACACCTAAGTGATATGAATAGAAGATCAAACCAGCCACAACAATCCCGTAAGCTAAAGCTAATTCAACATAAAGCCCCAACTCTTCAATTCCATAAGGCAAAGAGAGGTAAGGAAGCTGCAGAAGCCTGAAAGGAGCGGAGATTAGTTCCTGTCCCCATGCTTCTTCAAAGACATAAATATGAGGCTGGTTCTATGGCTCAGTGGTAATCTGAGCGTGACTCACACATGAATAACCTGGATTTGATTCCCAGCAGTTCAAAGGGAAAAAAAATTAAAAGGACAAAGAAGCAAATGACATATAGAAGGTCAACAGACCTATGAAAAGGAAGTTCATCAGCACTGATTATCAGGGAAATGCAAATCAAAATGAGGTATCACCTCATTCCAATGGGAATAGTCTATTTCAAAGAGTCCAGAAATGAAGAGCACTGACTCAGATGCAGTGAAAACAGAAACCCCCCAATTCACTGCTGGTGGGACTGTCATCTGGCTCAGTCTCTATGGAAAACACTATGGAATTTCTCAAAAAATAGACACTCCCTCATGACACAGCAATTCTACTCCTTCTAAAATTAACTCAAGAACAAACACACACACACACACAAATTTGAAAATATATTTGCATACTATAGCTAAGATCTGGAAACCACCCAAAGGCCTAACAACAGATGAGTGGAAAAAGAAACTGTGGTGGATTTATACAATGAAATACTATTCAACTACAAGAAAAGAAGAAATCTTGCATTCTACTACAAGTTGGGTGGAACTGGAGGGCGTCATGCTAAGTGAGTCAGATGGAGCAAAACCAGTATCAGATACCCCCTCAATGATCTGTGGAGTGTAAAGGACCAAGAAAGGGAAGAGGCAACAGTCAATAAAAAACAATCCTGAGATTCTGCCTATAGAGGAGTCTGTTGAGTTGAGAGGGTTGGGGGCACAGACAAGAAGGGACCAAGGGACAGGGTGGAGAGATACAGGCACTATGGTGGTGGGTATGCCTGACACACTAATTCTACTGTAAATTATAAATGCTCGATGGAAACTAGAACAAAGAAAGCTCAGTGGCAAAAAGTTCATGGAGAAGCAAAAATAAGCTATCCTGACAATCTAGCCAAGATCACTTACAAAATGAGCTAACCCCCTGTTCATAAACTTGAGATCCGGGGACCAATGAGTCTACAGAAATTTCCTGATGTTTGCCCCTCAAATTTTCTCCCAACCATGAGGCAGCTGCTACATGGTCTGAAAACTTGCAATGCCCTAAGTATAGGTGAAGTGTATGGCTGCTGGAGGCCAACGCTGCACTGCATGAGGACACCTGTCCAGGACACTTTGCAAAAGTTCTTACTTCACTGGAATCACCCATACTGTTTTTTAACATTGTGTTGTGGGGATTTGGGAAAACAAGTTATTTTTCTCATAGAATTTGAAACCATACAAAACGGAGACAGATAAAGTGTAACAGCAAAACCTTTTAACCTTCTTTGGGAGAGGCAAAGATAGTGTTTGAAAGAGACATCATGGTATGCAAGTATGCCAAGTTCTAGTGCTCCAAGTGTTGAAGAAACAGAGCAAAAGCAGATATGCCAACATATGTCAGAATGTCCGACATATCTCAGAATATGCGACACAAACCAAAAAGATAAGGGACTGTTTGTTAAGAAAGTATGACAAGGAATAACTGCTTTCATTGCAGTCCTTGGCAATGAACTATTGCCACAACCTTTGGCAATCGTGTGAAATGTGCTGTACTCTATCAAAGGACACTATGAAACCTTCCAAAAGTGCATTCAAAGAATATAGATGCTACTGATAAGCCTTGGACTTTTCCAAAGATTACAAAAGCCTGCCCCAGTCTGACACAGAGCCCTCTGCCTCCCATGTGCCCAGCGGGAAGTTGGGACGGATAGCTACACTTCATGTCAGACTCAGAGGAACATCCCATCCTAGTCATTCCTGCAGCACCCCCTGCCCCCCCAGCCCGACCAGCTGGGCTCCACCCACCTAGCACACTCCAAGGGCTGCTGGGACACACACCGAGGGCTCCCTTTCCTGCCAGACTGTCCTCATAAAAGTCCCTACCAATCAAAACAGAAGCTTCAGTCCACCGCTTCCTGGCCAGCCGATTGTCACCAGGCAACAGGAGACAGTCAGAAAGCAAGATAGGCTGATAGTGCAAAGAACATAGCTAGTCGACAGTCAGTTCTGGAATCTGAAGCTCCATGTAAGCTCCCACAAACTGTTAAAATGATGTGAAAATAAAGGATTCCAGCAGCTCCACAGGCAGCGAAGTCTTAGAGTTCACTAGAAACCCTGATACAAATCCAGAAGGCCTCAAAACATTTCCAAGGACCGTGATGGAAATTAAGGAATCACTGGAGGAGAATTTCAAGTAACTTTGAAAAAAAAAAAAAAAAGACCTGGTGTAGACTATAAAAGAATTCATACAACTGGAACTGAAGAAACTAAAGATGAAGGCCAGAGTTTGATCCCCAGCAGCACACAGTCCCTCAGCATGGAATGCCTGAGTACAGAATAAAAAGTAAGCACTGCAGGGTTCAGGCCAAATAATGAGCAAAAAAAAAATTTGTTGTTTTTAGTGGTAAAGGTAAAGGTAATGGCAGATGTGGGAGAAATGGCTAAAGAACCGAAATGGTCAATCAGAAATGGAGCATGAGGATGTGGGAGGGCCTCAGCAATCTCGTGATGAAATCGGAACAGATGCAAAGCTGCTTCTTATTTAAGAAAGAAGAAAATGGTTTCTGGAGATAGAAGATACTTCTGGTGAAGACGCTGTGGACGTGGCTGCAACGATCGCAAGGATTTACACACAGTAACCAAACTTAGCCGGAAAAGCCACACAGAGTTTGATAAGCCCAGCGCAACATTTAAAGATCTACTGGGGGGGGGGGGGGGGTGGTGGTAAGGCAATAAGGCTACAGAATGTCACCGGCTGCAGAGGCATCTGGGAAGTCCCTGAAGAGAACCTCACTACTGCCTTACGCTAACAAACCGCACAGACGAGGCAGACGTGCCGTCAGCAAAGATGCTGAGCAGAAGGCACTAATGATGGTGATGCTTCTTAGCAATAAAATGCTTTTGAAAATAAACATATATATACATGCATATATATACACACATTTTTGTGACTGACTTTGTCAGAGTACTTCCTTTACTGTGATCTGAAAGAGGATCTGCATTATCTCCAAGGTACGCCTGTATCTGTAAAAACCTCTTTCAGTAAAGTGCTTAGAAAAGTCAGCCACTTGCATTGAAAACTTGAGACTAAAAGCACCAGGAAACTGGATTAAAGGAAATGTCCTTCATAGTGGAGGTGGAAGGGAAATCCTCTGGAGGGAAGGGCAAGCGCTCACACACCACCTTTCCCCTCTGCAGAGGGTGAAGGAAAAAGGAAGGTTTCTCTGACCCAGCAACAGCAAATTCTCTTTTGCAGGCAAGAAAAGCCACCACTACTTCAAATTCTCTACTCTGGAATCTAGGGACGCAGGTAGGGGAGGTAAACCCTCCAATATATATTGCTTCCTCCAATATATTTTCTTCCAAACCAGCTCCTTCCAACATCTTTCTTTCTTCTGTCTGAGACTACACCTTTCTGTTTGACGGATGACAGATCTGCCAGAATGTGCATGTCCCAATTGCGGTACTCCTGCTATTCCTAAACAGACTCAGTTTTGCTGGCTAAACCACTTAGCTATCTGAGAGATTAACATTACCTGCCATCTAAAAGGGCCCAAACCGAGAGGACCTTCTTTTAAAAAAGTGCACAGCACATTTCTCACTTTGTATCATTTGCCTCCATGGACCATGTCATGTCTCTTCCTGTTTTCAAGCTGGTGCCCAAAATGACTTCCTCTTTAAATTCCCCAGGATTCCTCAGACAGATGAAACGTGCAACCCCCCACAAGTCCCACCACATGCATTCACAGCCATTAATGGGACTACCTATAAAATTACCTCCCCACAGAACTATAAACTATTCAAAGGGTACAGACAAAATAGCTTGGCTTTTTTGAAATGTAAGGAGCTAGTATTTTGAGTCCTCAATCAAGAGCCCACCTTAACCTCTCAAAACAGAAATGGAGGTATGTACTTCTTCATGTGAAAGTCAGTAAATTCTATAAATTTTTTTTCATTTGGCCACACAGTGTGATACACCCCAAAGGTGCCCACATGCAAAGCATGAATGGTAACCCTTTGAACCACCTTCCTAGCCTCACCAGAATTCCTCTTTACCTATTTAAAAAAAAAAAGTCTTTAAAGAGCTGCATTTTCTTTCATGAGAATATTCTTATGCATTTACTTATATAAGTAATAATAAGTTACAAGACATAAAGATCTGGTGGCTGGAGAGATTGTTCAATGGACTGGAACACATGCTTGAAATGTAGGAGGCTTGGGTTGGTCACCACTGCCAGGCCATCCACACCTCCTTAATGATGTTAAATTGAATCTTTCTTATAATAGTTTAGGTAACAGTAGGTAGCAGGTTAACACAAATCCCTTTGCTTGAACATTAATTTGAAAATTAAGGGGCTGGGACAATGGTACAGCAGGTAGGTTGCTTGCCTTGCACGCAGCTGAACCAGGTTTGACTCCAGGTATCCCATATAGTTTACCAAGTACCGCCAGGAGTGATGAAGTTACTCCTGAGTGCAAGATGAGAGTAACCCCTGAGCACCACCCGGTGTGATCCCAAAACAAAAACTGAAAAAGGAAAGAAAACTAAGTACATTTGAAAACATGAACCTTCACTCTGAAGGACATTATGAAACAAGTAAAGAAAAATAGCTTTTGGAAGGAACGTATTTTTGTACTTGTTTTGCTCCAATTTCCGCTACGTAGATGGCTCCCGTCTTCCCACTGACATCTAAGAGATGAGGCAAGACTTGATCTGCTAGTTGGATTGTGCTGATCACAGAGCAATTGCCAATGCTCCCCACCGGTGGTGCTGCCACAAACAAGAGTCTGCTAAGATTCAGCTGGGCTATAACCAAGAATTTTCCATCAGGAGTGAATCTAAGGAAAAGACATGACACCCATCAATTCAGATGAAACTAACATCTCGATTTATTTCTCAATACTTTTTACTCCCATAATCCTAGAAGTGAACTATTTGTTGGGGGGTCTTTGAAGGAGAATTCCAATGGGACCTAATCTGTTTAGGAAAGAACAGATTTGTGATATAAATAAAGACCGGGGGTTGGTTTGTTTTTTCTTTTTCTAAAAAAAATTCTCAGTATTTAATTCTGAGCATTAAAACTCTACATAACATGAAACTACTTAAACTCATGTTACACAGGGAGCGACACTAAAAACTCTGATCTTCATTTTCATTCTATGTTTAAACATTTACCAGGGACTGCAGAGATGGTCTGGCATACCTCACCTCTGACACTTGGGCCCCACAGTACTCAAAGCGCTCAACTGTTTCACTCCTCTGTACACTTCTCCTTTCCAACCCTGCCCTTGTAGAGCTAACCATAGATATTTTAAACTTACAGTTAATTTTTTAAAGGAAAAAAGAGAAACCAAGTAAGGCAAATGTTTCAATGCAAAAAGACACAACTACCTTACTGAAGATGGTCCCTCTTCTGTGAAACAATTTGTCCAAGCTCCTAGCCACTCCCCAGTGACTTTGTCAAACATCTGAATTCTCTTATTTCCTCGGTCAGCAACCCACACCTGAGAAATAAACAAAAAAATTGTTGATTGCAATAACAGAGAAAAAAGGGGGAGAATGAAGAGAATATTTATTTTCTCTAGTTTTACATATGTGATAGCACAGCATTTGCCTTGCACGGGCGGGCAGGCTGACCTGGCTGACCCGGCCCACCAAGGTTCGATTCCTCCGCCTCTCTCGGAGAGCCCAGCAAGCTACCGAGAGTATGGGCAAAGCCTGTATTCGATATGCCAAGCACAGTAACAAGTGTCACAATGGAGACGCTACTGGGCCTGCTCAAGCACATCGATGAACAAGGGGAGGACAGTGACAGTGACCTCATCTAAAACTTAGGGGATGCAAAGATACCTTTTTTCTGAAGTCCTACTTTTAAACAAAAACTAAATTTTTGAAAATTTATAGCTTTTTTGGTGGGGTGGGGTGCTGGTGTTGAGTTTTTTGGCTATACTGGCTGTATTCAGGAAATTTTTTGAGCTCCCAGAAACAACATTTTTCAGAAAATTCTAACGTATCTTTACTAATGGATGTGAGTTAAAGAAGGCACTGCGTTCACTCTGATCAGAAAGAAAAATTCATGGTAGAAAGGCAGTTCATCCCTAAATAATTTCTGAAGATATTTTTTTGATATATGCTTTTTTCTTCCCTGAGGATAATTTTCTTTAAAAGGTTTAGGGATTACTGCCTGAGGTCAACGCAAAGGAGAAATCATAGCTTGGACCCTAGAAAAACACTTTAGACTATTAGCACCGTCTGTGTTAGTCAATGAATACTGATGATTAATATACCAGAATCCCAACTTTCTCGTGCCCTACTTTCAAAGTTCATTTGGTCAGCTATCTTTCTATGATGGGAAATACTTGAATATTTTTATGATCCAAATATTTTTATGATCATTTTATGATCCTATTTATGTCAAAATAGGAAGGATGCTAAATCCTAATTGGAAAGTTTCTTGCTGAGTGAAGATGAAGAAGAGGAAAATGATTAAATTTCCAATGATGTAGATCATGAGTCTGATGCACGCATCCACTGTGCACCAAGAAATTTAGTCACTTAACAAACATGTAAAAGATGAACACCAATGTCGCAGACACTAAGATAATAAGTAAAAGAGAATAATATACTCACGCAGCTCTAATCAGAAAAGTATACATTCTAATATATTAAAAGATTATAATTTAGCATGACAGTTACTATAATAAGGAAGCAAAGTCAGAAAAACATTTGTTTAAAGTTTTGGGAGAGGGAGTCTGGTTACATGACGGTGAGCCCAAATATGATTAAAGGCATATAAAAAGGATGGAAAAAATGCTCAATGGATAGGGGTCGGGAAAAAATGGACTGATACTCGCTTAGAGCTTTCTTTCTGCTCATGAGATAAAGTGGAACTGGTGAGAATAAAAAAGTTGTCTATGTCCCCTTTGCACGCTTCCAACACTTGCCTCTCCCACATCCCAGACATTCTAGAATCCACTTAAGTCTAGAATTACAAATATATTCAAACTCACAGAGTAAGAGTTTTCCTAGGAGGAATTTTTTTTTCCTTACCCAGGTAGCTTTTTCTAATCTATTCCATTATTTGTTCCTTTTGCCCTTTAACTGACAAAGGAAATCTATTTTGCACTTTTCTAAATATATGGCGAAGTCCCTTCATTACAGAACCTACACACCCATGAGACAAGACCTGCTCAGGACCTGCCTAGAACTTGCCTGGTACTCACATTCTCTATCACATATGTATCAGATGGGCAGACATGCATGTGTCCACCCAGGGTCAATGCATGTTTAAACACACACTCAAGACCTCGCTCTACAAACATCTTCAAATATATAGTCCCAGACACAATGACATTGCATTTTTACCCGACCAGCTAAATCAACTGTGACACTGTGAGGTATGTTGAACTTGGTAGGCTCCGTTCCATTCTCTCCACGCAGCCAAAGCATCATGAAATCTAGAGAGAGAAACACATGGGGTTAGAATAAAAATAAAAACACAAAACACTGTCCTCCCATTGTTCATTCATTTGCTGGAGCGGGCCCAGTAATGTCTCTATTTCGAGACTTGTGGTTACTGTGTTTGGTATACTGAATACATCACGGGTAGCTTGCCAGGCTTTTGCCATGCAGGCGAGATACTCTCGTAGCTTGCTGGGCTCTCAGAGAGGGGCAGAGGAATCGAACTCGGCTCAGCCGGGCTGGCTGCACGCAAGGCAAACACCCTACCGCTATGCTATCGTTCCAGCATAACACGGAATATCGCATGCATTTATATAGTATAAGTTGCAGACAAACAATTCCATTAAACCCGTGGGCAACTGTCTCCTGGCAATCTGTGTATTCATTTTCAAATTCTTCTCGCCCACCCCTTTTTAGGGAAATTTCCCAAGCAAGGCTGAGAGGATCTGGGGGTGGTATACTCATACAGATACTGGCCTAACGGTTCATTGCTAGGGCCCAGGGCACCAAGGTCAGTAGGGTCACACCTGGCATTAACTTGGGAAGCCAGTGGCAATAGAGATGGAGCCAGAATACCCGACATGCCAGGCCTGCACCCCTGTGCTCCTCTACTTCTAATTCTTATGCTCTACCAAAAAAATGAAAAGCTCTATGTCAGGCAATTAATCTTACTTAGTTATCAACTTCAATGGAACATTTCATCACTGGAAATCACTGTCATGGCATCTTCTCCCTCAAATTGCTTCTCCTTCCCGACCTATGACTTGGCATCAATATTCTGCAAAACTAGTGCTCATTCAGTCTGTCTTTAGTCTGTTCTTTAGTCTGTTTCCTTTCCTGTCCCTATTACAGGATTAATTCTGGCTAGACCCCGCTTCTTCCATCACTCCCTAAAAAAAGATGTTTATGAGTCCCAAACCTCTAGATGTAGGAATGTGATTCTATTTAGAAACAGGGAATTGGCAGATATAATAACTTTTAGAAATTCTGAGATAATATAGGGAGACCCAAAATCCAATGATGAGAAAGGAAAAGAGATACCACATACACCAGAGACCAGAGAGAGGTCACATGTCACACGTGTGTGAATACACACAGACACACACACACACACACACACACACACACTTACACACACTTAGAATCATTGAATGGATGCAGGAAGAGGCAAGGATCAATTCTTACCTAGAACCTTACAGGGAGAAAGAGCTCTAAAACTGTGAGAATAAATTTTTGTTTTAAATCACCCAATGTTGCATATGGTTTATCCTTGCTCCTCCCACAGGGAGTTTAAGTTTACTGATTACTCCCACAAAAGTGCTCTTGAGGCACACCCAACTCCATCAAGCACCAATACTCCTATATTGTCTTTCTCTTTCCTTTAAGTCCTTTGCATTGTTTATTTAGCAATGCCTTTATTGTATAGACACATGAAGACAGTTAATGCTATGCTTTTGTAACATTGGAGTTAACTGACTTCAAATATTTACTCCTGGGCATCCATCATATTTACACCCCAAAAAGGAGGGCTCCTGCGAGGAACAAGGATGGACCCAGGGCAAGCTGTGAGTTACCCTGGCCCTGAAAAGGGATAAGCTAAGTGCCATATGAAGTATAGTAAGAGCACGGTCATGGAACAAACTCTGTCATGACCCAAAAAGAAGTAACTGAATAAGGACCCTGCTGGGGTTAGGAAAGACTAAGCTGGCCTGAGGACTCTAGTCTGGGATATGTGGCAAGATGTCCCCAGAAAGAGCCAACTTTAAGCTTAATATATCTCTTCCTGTATTCATAAAAAATGACTAGAAATATTATAAGCAAATTTACTATGATTGTTTAAATGGATTACTAGCTGAGGAAAGGAGAAAGCAATTCCCTAGATGGAATCCAGTCCTTGAGTGGATCTCCTAATAATCTAGAGTGCTGAACCCTCAGATGAGATTCTGTCCTTGAGTTAATATCCTAGACCTTGCCCTGAAGAAGTGTTACCTGTTTGTTGTTATGACAATGTTCAACCCCACTTATGTGTACCCTCACCCTTCATGATTTCTATAGAACTATGCTGTAAGGGGATAGAGGGGATGATGGAACCAGGATGGTGAGGGCTCTGACGACTATGGGACTATGACCAAAATTACGACTGTAACTACAATTGTGCTATAATGGAGAGATCAACCACTACTGAGGAGGAGAAGGAAGTAAACCGACTAGCAACAAGTCTGGGGCCCTGTTTCTCCGCTCCCCTGGTCCTTCAGTCCTTTGTCCATTGCCGTGGGTCGGCCAGGGGAGTGGTTCTTAGCCACCAAACACTCTTGTCCCATGCCCGCATGCTTTTCTTTGAAACTCACAACCCAATTTGTGGCAGTGTATGACAACATCACCCACACAGAATGAACCCTATTCAAATATGTCCTAAATTTAGCTCTTCCCTTTATAAAATTTCTTTGAATCTTTGCTTTTTCCCCACTCCAAATTCCTGTATTACCATCATATTCATTAACTAGATAATAAATTGACTCTATAGTATTCAACTGACAGAGTTACTAAAATATATCCTGAGATAACACTGTACCACGTAAATACTCTGCTTCTATACATCACTTTCCTAGTGGGCTAGATAGTACAGGGGCTAAGGCTTTTGCCTTGCACACAGCAGACTGGTTCCCCCTTATGATCCTGAGTTCTTCTAAGAGAGATACTGAGCACACAGACAGGACTAAGTCCTGAGCACCACTGGGTATGGCCCCAAAACATCAAAAACCAATTTCCTATTAAAAATCCAAAGACGACTCTGCTCGAACCCTGCTATCCACCTCCTGCATATCCTATACGAAGTCTCCTGAAGATTCCAGTGTTCAGCCTGAGATCAATGAACGCATCTACTTGAACAATGCAGGATGCAGAGCAGGCAGCACATAAAAACCATAGACCAGTCGATTTACGAGGCTGCCTGAGCTTGGGGTGCCAGTTCCCAGTCTCCTTTCTTTTAACTAAGTCAGACACAACTTATTTCTTGAGTCCTGTGTAAATTCTCATACTGTTCCCAGGTCACTTCAAAGCAAACATGAGGCTTGGGTGAAGAATGACTTCCTGTCACAACCATTCAACTTAGCACTGGTTTCCTAGTTAAACACTTAAACCCTTTATGCACAACTGTGGGTGTTGGTTTTTTGTTTTTGTTGTTGGCTTTTTTTGGCTTTTTGGGCTACACCCAACTGTCATATTATATTACTAGTATTACATAATATTCTTATACAGTAAAATCAAGCCACATACCTTGGGACAACTTGATCAATCTGTTATTCAATCCTCCGTCTCCATCCACAATGTACATATCTCCTGTGTCCTCTACAAATAATTCTGCAGGGTTATCAAACTGAAGGGGATTCAAACCACTGCCTTTTTTGCCTGGGGTACCCAAGACTTGAACAAGATCGCCAAGTGAATTATATTTTTTGACAGTGTGACCATAGGATCCTATAAAGAAAGGCATGCACATTTTACAAAATAACTCTATAGTCACATTTTTCAAGTAAGCTAAAATATGTATATGTATATGTATATGTGTATATACACACACACACACACAGAACAGTCAGAAAAAGTTAACAGGTTTAGAATGTTAGTAGTTAATGAGAAACTGAACTTCATGATCTGCTCATGAATTAAAATTTCAAGGACTCCAAATTTTACATGCTTATTCAAATAAAACTCAAAAAATCGGACACCTTATGCAGATTACTTATAAAGTTAAATTGCTGTTACACATTTAAAAAAAAAAAATCTGGGGCCAACCAATGGTACAGTGGATTGTGCACTTGCCTTGTATGCAGCCGACTGGGTTTGATAACAGCATTCCATATGGTCCCGGAGCCTTTGGCCAGGATTAAGCCCTGCGCACCACCCAGTATGGCCTAACCATCCTCCCCCAGCTAAAAACAAATCTTATGACTCCGAATAAGCACTATTACTAAGAGGAAACGGAAAAGAAGCTAGAAAAGGAAACTGTTACCCCAGTCATTCCCGCAGATTACCACTTTCGGTCCCCCACTAAAATGGTTCTCGAAAACACAGGTTTTTAAAAGTACATTTTCTCTGAGTGCAAACAAATTAAAAATACAATCTATACACTGTTTTCCCCAAGAAGGAAAGTCCTTCAAGCTACTAGGATTTCTCTTCTCACTTGTATTAACATTTCTCTTGAGTTAAATGATCTTACAAGCAAAAGCATAAAGTAGAGTATTTACTAGGGAAAACCCTTCAGGCTGAGGGGAGTAGAAATGGCTCAGGGACACATATATGCAAAGTTCTGAACTCAAATCCAGGCACCACACCCTCTATCCCTTAGGCTGGACTGCTGGTGTGGTTTGTGAGGTCCCCAACACTGCTGGGCTGAAATGCTAGACCAGTTGGCTATGACTGGGAGTAGCCTCTGGACTCCTTCCCACTTACGTGTTCCTGATCCTCCAAATAAATAAAAAATAAATAAACTTTCAGTGATTACTTAAAGAAATATCAAAACCAAACTAAACTGATTAAAGTTCAAAAGAACAATTCTGGGAAGTCTGATTAGGAGACCTCTCCTTTGTAATATGGAAGCCTTCCTTAAATACAACCTCTTCTGAATTAAACTAGGGCCACAGTATAGTGGGCAGGGTACTTGCCTTATATGCACTGACCCCAGTTCAATACCCAGAGGCCCTCCAGGAGTCATCCCTGAGAGTAGAGCCAGGAGTAAGCCTTGAGCACAGCTGGGTGTGCCCAGAAAACAAACAACAAAATTTTAAAATAAAAACACCAGTTTCAAATGTGGTTGAAATAGTTGACTTGCAGCCATATTTTCTTTACAGTGATCTCTTTGAAAACTAACAAAGAAAGGAAAACCTGTTTCCAGACCAGCATGTGGGAAAATAAGCTACACTGAAAGAATGACAGATCAGGTTTTATGTCTAATAATCAGTGAAGTATTTTATTCTAAAAAGTTAAATGAATGTGTAAATGTCATGAATTAAGACTGTAAAAGCTTTGAACAGTAAATAAAATTTTTTTTCTAAAAATGGTATTGCAGTATTAATAAGTCTAGATTTTTTTCCTTTTTTGGGTCAAACCCAGCAATGCTCAGGGGTTACTCTTGGCTTTGCACTCAGGAATTACTCCTGGCGGTGCTCAGGGGACCATATGGGATACCGGGGATTGAACCAGGGTCCGCCGCATGCAAGGCAAATGCCCTACATGCAGTACTATTGCTCCGGCCCCTAGATTTTTTTTTTTTTTAGATTTTTATTAGTGAAACACCATGAGGTACAGTTGTAGATTTACAAATTTTTGTGATCAAATACCCTCGATATTTTTTAAGACAGAATCTTCTTACACAAAACACACAGTTTGAACAAAGGAATTATCAGCTGAGGTTCAGAAATCTTTTGAGTTCCGAGAAAAGATATTAGGTAAAGGCAGTTCTTACAAAAACTGATAGATACTGGGGAAACCAGAGAATTCTTAAATCAAGAATATAAATTTTGCCTAGAAATATTATCTTTATGAACCCACACCTTCCTAAATTCCTGGGATAGTGCCAGGTTATCTCTGGTACTGTGTTGTAAACCACAAGCATGTGAATAGCTATCTCTGAAATCTTATCTCCAGGGCTGTGCTTTAACTCTTTTCAGCATATTTTACTTGATGAAAGCAAGTCTTCAAACATGCTGCAGTCAGGGAAATTTCAGAACATTAACACCAGCAGTTTCTGCAAACCAGGCACTTAGAGCGACAAAGCAGTTAGGATTTCTGAAACAGTTTCTTTCAAAAGGGAACTGCTAAAGGGAATTGGCAAAGGAAACCAAAGCAGTGATTCTACTCATTAGCTTTAGAAAACACCCTTTTACCTGGCTTCACAAAAGAGCTTTAGAATTATTTAATGTGAAATATAGTGATGCCTTCCAGGGGAAAAAGTTCCCCAATCCATTTTTTTTTCCTGATTTGGGGGGCCATACCCTGGGAGATACTCTGGAGCTACTCCTAGAGGGGCTCAGAACATTGTATGACTGAAACATAAGCATGAAAGTTTGTAAATCTGTTACTGTATCTCACGGTGATTCATTTAAAAAAGGGAAAAAAAAAGAGCTACAGGTAGTGCTGGGGATGGAACAAAGTCAAGAATCAACCCTCCGAGTCCCCATTTTTTTCGGTGTTGAAGTGTATGTGGGGCAGAGGGTAGGCAAGATAGAGAAGGGACCAGAATGACAATGATCACGGGGGACAAGAACTGAGTGTTAAAAGTAGATAAACGGGGGCTGGAGAGACAGCACAGTGGGTAGGGCGTTTGCCTTGCACGCGGCCGACCCAGGTTCGATTCCCAGCATCCCACATGGTCCCCTGAGCACCGCCAGGAGTAACTCCTGAGTGCAGAGCCAAGAGTAACCCCTGTGCATTGCCATCACCGGGTGTGACCCAAAAAGCAAAAAAAAAAAAAAAAGCAGTTAAATGGAGATACCAGATACCTTTCAGTATCTGTACTGCAAACCACAATGCCCCCCCCAACCCAGGAGTGGGGGGGGGGGGAGGAAGAGAGAGAGAGAGAGAGAGAGAAAGCTGCCATAGAGGCCTGCTCTGCTGGGAGGGGGTGATGGGAGGGAAACTGGGGACACTGGTGCTGGGAAACGTACACTGGTGGAGGCATGGGTGTTGGAACACTGTATGGCTTAAACCTAATAATGAACAGCTTTGTAAGGGTCTATCTCATAGTGATTCAATAATAAAACCTTAAAAAAAAGTCAACCTTACTCTCAGTCTCCACATTACATTTCTCGATGCTAGAGAAACAAAAGACACTTTTAGAAACAAGCAATTTACTGACTCATAAAAAAATTTTATAACTAAAGTATAATAAAAAATCTGATTTCATTTTGTTTTTAGGCCACACCCAGCAGTTCTCGGGGCTTACTCCTGGCTCTATGCTCAGGGATTACTCCTAGCAGGCTCAGAGGAACCATATGGGATGCCAGGGATGGAGCCAGGGTCTTGCCATGTAGCAAGGCGAGTACCCTCCCTGCTGTATTTTCTCTCCAAGCTGTGATTTCAAAATATCAAGAACATGTGCAAATATTTGATTTCTTGCAAAAAAAAAAATGTAAAAGACATGATGACACATACCGCTTCCTACATCCGTGATCCAAACAGACTGTTCATTCAGTGTACTGGCTGCAAAGATACCATGAGGCATGTCGACCGTATGATTCCAGGACCTTAGAAAATAGCCCTCCTCTGTGAACACGAGTACTTTCTGGATGTTATCGCCTCTCTAAGGAAAATACAAAAAAATAAAAGCTTAGATAGGGTCCAGATCTGTTTTAAGGAAGTAACAAATACAGGGACGGGAAGGAAATGGGATCTAGAGATTAAAAAGAACGGCTGCAGAAGAAAATTCTTGAGAACGGGTGCAGGACATGCATGCAAGATATAGAGAAAATAGGTCACAGGTCACGGTCCTCCCGTTGTTCATCGATTTTGCTTGAGCGGGCCCAGTAACGTCTCCATCATGAGACTTGTTGTTACTGTGCTTGGCATATCGAGTACGTCACAGGTAGCTTGCCAGGCTCTGCCGTGCGGGCAAGATACTCTCCGTAGCTTGCCGGGCTCTCCGAGAGGGGCGGAGGAATCAAATATCCTGTTCTTCCTGAGCCCCTTTATCTTCCCATCTTGCCTGTCTTAAATTCAAAGCAGAGGGCTCACCCATAACCCTCGCAAAGAGAATATAAAGAGGTGGTTTCCCAGCCTTTTCCTGATTCCTACTTAAGAGTTCCCCATGCCCCAGCTTCCTTGCTTTCCCCTGGCCTCACCTTCCCTCCCTTTTCCTTCTCTTCTTTTCCTCAAGTAAAGTTTCTACTGAACTTGGCCACCTATTCTGCAGATATCTGCTTTAAATCTTGGCTGCCCAAGGTCAAGAACCTGAGCATACAATAATGTCCTAACCTTTATCTCAGCAAACAAAAATGAAAAGCTAAAAGGAAACTTTAATAACAAACGTTTTAAAAAAAATTTTCAGGGCAGAGAGAATACGACCCTGACCTTGCATTCAACCAACCCGGACTCCGAAACTGGCCAGGAGTGATCCCTGAGCACTGGGCCAGGAGCGCCACTGGGTATGGCTAAATACCCACTCCCCAAAAAACAACCCACTCCCCCCAAAACAACAAGATATAACTGGTTTTATGAAATAGTCACTAATTGGGGGAACTGCTTACATAGCTAACAGAGTTCTTGTCCAATTCGTGAAATCATTCATTAAATCTACACTGAACTGTATTCAGGCATTTCTAAATGTTTTTAAAGTCTTAATTTTACTTACTTGGCCAACATAAACCAATCCGTTCAGGGAGTCCACGGCAACACAGAAAGTTGCTCCGGTGAAATATTCTGAATATTTCGGCCAATTCACATCTAGCTGGTAGAGAATTTCCTCGTTTTCCCAGGAAATTTGAAAAACAAAATTTCTGAATACCTTCAATAAAAACAAAGACCAAGTTCAGTTTTCCCTCTAAGTTAACTGAGAAAGTGGACTAATTTTTATACATGTCTTGACCCCAGATAATGAGAGGTTTGCTGAAACGAATTGCAAAGATATGGGCTTAGAATCCGATAAAGACTAAGGCGGGGGCCGGAGTGATAGCACAGTGGGTAGGGCGTTTTTTTGCCTTGAACGCGGCCAACCGGGGTTCGATCCCCAGCATCCCATATGGTCCCCCAAGCACCGCCAGGAGTAATTTCTGAGTGCAAAGCCAGGAGTAACCTCTGAGCATTGCTGGGTGCGACACAAAAAGCAAAAAAAAAAAAAAAAAAAGACTAAGGCGACCATGAACAAATCGAAAAAATTACTTGAGGATGTTTTGAGAAGGAAAAAAAACAATGCAAAAACTGCGATGTGTCATATACAACCCTCTAAAACTAGAAAGAAAAAAAAAAACAAGGCAAGAAGTTTGGTCCAGATGCCTTTTTTTTTTTTTGAGGGAGCCTTTGTGGCAACCACCACGGTGTCTCCATCCAACGCGCCCTGCGCACATACCCGAAAGCCATTCCCTCGCCACTCAACTCACAGGAGAGTCACACAACAGCGAATGCAAAATCAAAACTGCAAGAAAAATGCCGGTGCCGGTCGCGAAGACCCAGAAGAATCTCGCCATAATAGACCGATGAGGGAGGCGAACCCTGCAGGAGCCGCAAGGGACACGAGGTTCTTTGCAGCACAGTTACGTGGCCCGCAGGATCCCGCGACAGTAATTCCTTAGCTCCTGTACCCCGATTCTGGAACCATGAAGCTGGAAAGGAAAAAAGAAAAAAAGGCGGGGAAAGCAAACACTCCAGAAAACAGAAAACCAGAACTGGGGTTCCGGATTCTGAGTGCGTCCCGCACAGCCGCTGCCAAGTCAGATGCTCCAAGAGGAGCCAGTGAACATCCTTCCCCGCCCCGAGGGGAGGTCCAGGCTGTTTCTTTGGCCGGCCTATGTAAGGTTGCCTGTAGATATGCCTGAACTTCTAAGAGGTTAATTCTTCTTAATTCAGATCGAAAGACCAAAATCTAGCAAAAATAAATTACAATGTCATCAGTGTAGGAAACAATTCAAAAATAAAATACACTTCCGAGCTCGGGGAAGGATCTCTTGTGGCACCCCACTCTTGAGAGATACAGGCAAACGACGTAGACACCTACGTTCCCACATCAGGACCCTTCCCCGGCTTTCGGGAAGGAACGGCCTGCGCGGGCGGCGCAGAGTTGAGTTCATTCAGGCGCGACGAACTGCGTGGAAGGTCCCCCCTATTGGCTGGTGGGGGGGCTGTAGGGCTAACCGGAAAGGGCACCTGGTGCTGTCGTTCTGCGGTGTTCACGAGTCCCCCTGCCCGAGATCGCGCCCCCCTCCCCCCGTCGCCCGACTCGCGGTGCTCCCCGACAGCCGGCCCCGCTCCCGGAAGCCGTGGCAGCTGGTAACAAAGAGCCTTGCCAGGCCGCCGCAGTCCGGGCGCCGGGGCCCAGGGGAGCCCGGCGTTCTTGCTGGTGGGGGCTGAGCGCGAGCCCTGGACATGCATCCAGCTCGGCGGCGGTGAAGGGACGGCGGCCGGCGGCGGGGACGCTGGTGCGGCCCAGGAGCTCGGCGTCTGGGTCCTGGCCGTCGGCGGGGCTCGGTCGCCCGGTGCTTCTGTGCTCCCGCGTGCTCCAGCGGGGAAGCTGCGCCCCCGCCTTGGCTCGGGCTGGCGTGTTGGCCCGCCGCTGGCCGAGCCCCGGGTTTCTCTGCGGGAATCGGGAGAACCCGGCTCTTCTCCGAGGTGTCTGGAAGCTTTGTGTCCAGGAACTAGGGGATGGGAAACCCGAGGGGGGTTTGTTTTTAAATGGAAAGTTTTTGTAAGTCTCCTTTTTGAGGCTTTTTTTTTTTTTGCAAGAGTTTGAAGTGCTCTACCTCTTCGCATCCTTTTTCCTGCTCTTCCTCTTCCATAGCTGGAAACATTTTTTGTTTTGTTTTGTTTTTTAACTCTCAGAGCGGACGAGGGATGCATGTTTTGTGATCGAACGTGAGCAACGTTTGTGATTGCCAAGATGGACAAAAAGTCTTTTGAAACGGTGCTGGATGAAATTAGGAAGGTAATAACAGTCGTTTCTGGGAGCTCCATTTCTCACGCTTCATTCCCGTGGCGGGATTACTGGCAAATTTCTCCAAGTCAGCCTGGTGGGGTGGGAAATTTGTTTCAATTTTTTTGTGAATGGTTTCTGAAGCTTGGGAACGGCGTGGAGATTTCTCGTTACATATTGCAACTATGTTAACGCTGAACTTTTGAAGTTATCTGGGCGTTTGTGCTGTTATCCCAGGCCGACGCAACAAATCTTACCTTGGTGATTTATATGTTTGACTTTATTTTTCATTAACTCTAGCAGCGGTGGCCCAGAAAAAAAGCTAATTTATTTAATGGTAGCTAATGACACACTTTTTAAATATAAAGAGGAAAAGATTGATTTCTGAGCTGGATGAAAAACTTGGCCTGCATTTCAGTCTTATTCTTAGGAGTCGTTGTAGAAACGTGAATTTCAATGCTTTTCTCTTGCTTTCCAAGTTTTGCTTCTTTTTGAGGCTATTGAATGAAATTTACTCCCCCCCCCCCCCCCAATTAATCTGAAAGGCTGCTCTTTTGGAATGCAGCTTTGAACCTAACAATGCCTCGGGGTAAACCGGAGAGTTTCTGTGAGGGCTGGGAAGACGCACTATCCCATTCTTATGCTAATGCTGAATGCTGCGCCTAGAATTTTGGACCATTGTTTAGCCTATTTCTATAGCTCTTAAGGAAATGTTTTCTTAAGCTCTGGCACTTACTGATGAAATTCATAAAATTCCCGGTTGATCCCCTGGATTTCTCATTCTTTGTTATTGAAAATGTAATAACTGAAGAGTTCCTCCCCTCCTCCTCCACACTTGCCATTTATAAAATTTTGCTTATATCTGCATTTTGCTGAATAACAACTCAGTACCAGTTTTTCCTTCGAAATTTTGGCGGCCTCCCAAATCTGCTTGCGTTTCTGTGTAGAGTCTGACCACTCCGGATAGTTGGAGTTTTCTTGTTTCATATAGTTTGTAGATCTGCAAGAATGCTATTGCTGTAGGACCTCGTTTCACCAGTGCAGTGGTGCTAGAAATTAAAATACAAATTCCTTGTAATGTAGGGACAATCAGAATGTGACTCCTATCTTCCTCCCATATTAGAATTTGTTCTCCCTGAGCTCTTGCCACCACCTACAACACAAATCTTCCATAAATATATCCAACTAGTTTTTCTTCAGGATCTTTCTGAGTCTTGTTGTGTATTTTTACTTTGTGATATGCCTGATCTTTACTCTTCATTTATATGGTTCTTCATTTTCACTACAGAAATAATTTGAAAATTAAACTTTCCATGTCAGGTTCAATTTTTATATTTGATGAATGTAATTTGAAGGAAATCTCTGCTTTTCCCCATTTGTCCAGTTAAGATTTGCAATCAGATAATTGCGACATATTTAGAATTTACTGTAGTTGGTTCAACAGATATTTTATGTTGATGAGAAAACGTTTCTCTTCAGGAATATTTGTTTTTATACATTTTTTTGTTTTGTTTCTTAACATCTAAAGCCAAGAAAAGACATCACTGGGAAAAGAAATAGAAAGGGAAGGAAATAAAGAGGGTAAAAGACAGTATTAATTTTGCTTTTCCTTTTTACCATGTTAAATATATAAGGATGTAAATACACAACTTGATTATGTTGGTGGCTGATGTATATAAAAATGGGGCTACAGAGTTTTCAGCACACGGAAAAATGTTTTTTCAGTTTTCCTTCCCCTCTGCAATCTGTATGAGATGATGATGTGAATAAACTTATTGCACTATTCCTCTCATGATACGTATGTAAGTATAATTATGCTCTGCACCTTAAACTTGTACAGTTACATATATGCCATTTTATATTTCAGTAAAACTGGAATATTTGTCCCCAAAAAGTACCTTGTCTAGAATGGTCTTAAATTACAGAGAACCCTGGATAGTTTTCTCAGTTCACTGGTTACGGTATTTATATTTAGCATTTCAAGCTAAGTATAGTGAAGTATCATTGTTCTGTAGTAAAAGAATAATTTATCCTTGGGGTTTTTTATATATATATATGTATATACAGATTACTAATTGCTATCTCTGACTGCCTTGAATCTGTCTCTAAGTTCAGCACATAGTTAAAGGACAGTGCATGTGATTTCAGTTTTCTCCTCTGGGTCAAGGCTGGTGACTTACGAATTTCCTATTGATCCATATGGAAAAGGAACTTCAACTATTGTTATATATTAAAAGTCAGATCTACTATTGACCATTTAATTTCTCATAGAAACCCTGATGTTAGTGCAAAGGCACTTATAGTAATTAAAATACCTCTCAAGGATTGCAGAGAGGTACTGCTCAACTGTCTGCAGAAGGCCCCGGTTCAGTTCCCAGGCCCCAGGACCACTTGACAGGAACAAGCCCTGAATCTGATTAGGAGTACCCTTGATCCCTGCTGGATGTGCCCCTGGCCCTCTGAAAGCATTCTCAGAGGCCACACTGCTGGTTATTGGAGGGTGCACACATTGAAGCCTCTTTGATTCCTTGTGAGTCCTTGGATTTGCATATCCAGCCAGCAAAGCTGAGAGCCCCACCACTCATTCCTGTTTCTGTCTCCTGGCACGTAATTGGTGCTCAGTGAAGAACTGATGAGTGAGTTGACTGCTTTAAATCTTCATAATGACTGGTAGTTTGGGATGTTCTGAAATTGTAATTACAGGTAACAGAAATTCTATGTGTAATCTTTACGAATGTTAAATTTTAGCCATTAAAACTTGTATTCCTTCCTATGCCAGAGTTAGTCGGGAGGCCCAGTAGATTTTTCCATCTGTTCCAGTGTGTTCCTTAACACCACAGAACCAGGAAAGGGAGAGTGTTCTTCCCCACCTCTGATTTAAGTTGTCTCTGTACCAAGGCCAAGAAAGATCTGCCTCTTGAGTTGCTTGGGGAATTTTGATACAAGCATATTCCTGTTTTGCTAACATATATTAATACTGCTTTTCTTTTTTTTTTTAGGCTGTTTTGACAGAGTATAAATTAAAAGCAATTGAATATGTACATGGATATTTCTCTAGTGAACAGGTATTCCAGATGTTTTTGTTGTTGTTGTTTTATGTGTACTAGTGTTCTAATTAGTATCTGTTTACCTACTCCGCTTTAGAATTGCTTTGAGTCTTGGCTGTAGTGTTTTAGGAACTTTAGCACTTCCGCTTATGTTAAAAACTTAAAGGAATTTAAGTTTATCATTTAGGAGCATTTTATAAACATCCACTTTTTATGTAAATTTTTAAGTACAGTGTAAAAATAGACTTTAGAATGTTTATCATTCTGGACAATGTTTATCATTCAGTAGTATAAATTGATGAACTTTAAAACAAGTTTTTAAGCATGTTAGTTTAGTGAAAAATTGGAGGCAGTGTTAGGGGTAAAGGTAAAGGTAAAGGCCCTCCCGTTGGTTGATCATCGAGCGGACCCAGTAACATCTCCATGGGAGACTTTGTTGTTACTTTGTCTGGCAAATCGAATACTCTCGGTGAGGGGCTGAGGAATCGAACTCGGGTCGGCCATGTTGGCCGCTTGTAAGGCAAACGCCCTACCCGCTGTGCTATCGCTTAGGGGAAGTCTCCTAATATTTAAAAGCCTGTGTAGACACACAGGCCATTCTGAGAGGCTTTCTCACACATACTTGTTGCATGTGTGCTACGATCTCTGAGAGAAACCTAAAAAATGCTTGCCAGAGAAATGAAACACATTTGCCTTGCATGCTGCTGATCCTCCCAAGCACCATCAGGAGTAATTCCTGAGTGCAGAGACAGGAATAACCCCTGAGCATCACAGAGTGTGACCCAGAAAGCAGAAAAGAAAAAGAAATGAAACACATAGAAATGCATTGCCAGGTGAATCTTGAGAATAATTTTGAGAGAGAGCTTTGTCGTGGAACGGGCAGACTTGATAATAGATTGAATCAATTAATACTTACATTTTCATCCATATCTAAAGACTTCAAAATTTGGAGCTTGAATAACTTTTTTGTCTAGTAATTCTGCTTAGTAAATTTCCTAAAAGCCAGCTTCGTGATTGTCAGTAAGCAGTAAGGGTGGTGTGATTGTTAAGCTCTTTATTTACAGCCTGTTTAATCTGTTTATCCATCTTCCTACTGCTTTTCAAAAAACACCTTACACTTTTAAAAATTAAGTGTCCTGAAAAGATTCCTAGTTCCTAGAGGCTAATAGCTTTTCTTTGATTTTATGTGTGTATGTTCAACTTTGTAGAAACCTTTTTATTAAACCTCACTGTGATCTAAGCCTGCTTTTGTTTTAGTGAAGACTTGTTCAGCATAATAATTTGTAAAAGTTTCGTGGTGTTTAAGGTACCGGTAGCATTCATTGTATAGTAAAATTGTTATTCCCACAAAAGTAAGACATACACACTTTCCAAATCACCTAGGAATTACAAAGAGTAGCTATTTTCTGTTTTTCTCTTTATATGGAGAAGGGTCCACTTTTTCTCTTCTTCATCGACCAGTCCAGTTTCCTGCATTAAATTTGCAGAATAATTGAAACTTTAATTCATTTTTTGGGACTTCCAGTAAAGTAATTAACCCAGATACTTTTAACCTTTCTTTTCTTTTTTTTTTCTTTCTTTGTTTTTTTGGAGTGTTCTTTAAGACACTGAAGCAGTAAGGGTGGTGTGATTACATGCATTAGTATTGTGATCCTCCATCCTTGCTCACCTCTTCCTAGCTGTCTCACAGCTTCATTTCTTTAAAGTTCGTTAGTGGTGGTTAGTGCCTTGCAGGAAGCAGTCTGCCCATTTGTGTGTCAAAATCACCTACTGTTTAGAAGATACCAGCGTAATTCTCCATGATTTTCACACTCCAGGGGATAGGTTCGTGATATAAATATGAGCCTTATTCCCTCTGGACTTAAGTAATGCGCTGCTAGACCACCGCATCCTGAACACCCTTTTGTGACTAATTAAAGCTGTCACTCACCTCTGCTTGAGGATTTTCTGTTTTCATAACACCTATTTATATACATAAGCTGCCATTTTATTTCCATCAGTTGCTTTAGAACCTTTTAGGCACTTTGTTTTTCTCCTCCTTGTACTTCTGCACAGTGGGTAGGGTGTTTGCCTTGCATGCAGCTGTCCCAGGTTCGATTGCTCCATCCCTCTCGAAGAACCCGGCAAGCTACCTAGACTATCCCGCCCGCACGGCAGAGCCTGGCAAGCTCCCCATGGTGTATTTGATATGCCAAAAACTAACTACAAGTCTCAAAATGGAGACGGTACTGGTGCCCACTCAAGCAAATCGATGAACAAAGGGAGGACAGTGACAGTGATACTTCTGTTAGACCACTATTGACCAGTAGATAAAAATTTCTGTGATAAAAATTTTCTCTAGCTGCCCTCTTTATTATAATTAGCTACTTGGTCATGGCACTTGAAAATGTGACTTCATTTGAATGAGTTGACTTTTATTTTATTTTAATGGATATAATTTAAGTAAACTCCTTGTAGCTGTTAGCAGTCTAAACTCTGGTCTCATGTTCATCTTAGCCTGGGCAGGCACATTTTGAAGTTATTCAAAGTACTCAGATCTCTTAGGAATGTTTTCTAGCACATTGTCATTAGATCTAAAATTTTTATTTTGGCTTTGTTTTTTTGCTTTTAGGTGGTTGACTTACTGAGATATTTCTCCTGGGCTGAGCCTCAGTTGAAGGCAATGAAAGCTTTACAACATGTAAGTAACTCATTTTTCCTTAGAATGTAAACTGTAAATATTTAGGGTTTTCCCCAATTTCTTAGAGATAAACTTAAGTTAGAATTTCTCTGTTTTAGAAAACCTGGCCGTATTTTTTTTGTATGACCCTAAATTTTATTATACTTTCACATACTCAATGGCTATGTTTAAAAATAACATTTCCCAACCTGAAATTTAAATTACAAGTACTGCAAGGATCAGTTGAACACCATAGGTTCCTGATTGGCAGATTGGAGGCAAGTGAATATTCATAGCCTAATAAAATACAAGATTTGAACTCATGAGGTTGGAGAGAGAGTACAGCAGGTAGAGTGCTTGCCTTGCATGAGGCTGACTCAGGTTGGATCCCTGGCATCCCATATGGTACCTAAGCATTGCCAGGAGTGCTTCTAAAGTGCAGAGCCAGGCATAACCCTTGAGCATCGCTACATGTAGCGACCCTTCCCTCCACAAAAATAAAGATTTTTAAGAGTTCTTAATGCACTTCTATTTTAGAATATTTTCACCCTTTTGTCTATAGTCTTAGAACAGTAGCCAGGTATATACTTAAAATCCTCAGGGATTTTCAACTTTTTTATGTCTGTAGACCAGTATTGGTTTGTTTACTAGTAATTGAAAACCACTCTCAGTGTTCAGTAACCTTACTGTGACTAGCAGAAAATTCATAGACAGAAGGACACTGATCAGGAGACTGGTGATTGAAAACCACAGTCTGGACCAGTAGGACCCCAGTGAACTCTCATCAACAGTGGAAGTCTTGCTTGTGTGCTGTCCAATATGATCACCACAGGCTGCATGTCACTACTGATTACTTAAAAGATGTGTACAGATCTATATTTTCAATTGAATTTTTTTGGTACTAGGAATTGAATCTAGGGCTTCATACGGTGTTCTACCACTAAGCTACTATCCTAGCCCTTACTTTAATTTTAGTTAAATAGGCACTAAGCCTAATGCCTGCTTTGTTGGATAAAACCTCTTCAGAGCCTAAATTAACAGAGGCATCTAGGTCAATTTCTGACTGTATAGGAATGTTTTCCTGGGCATGTCAAACTCTGGTTTTGGGTTTTTTTTTTTTTTCTTCTTGGGTCACACCCAGCAATGCACAGGCATTACTCTTGGTGGTGCTCCGGGGACCATATGGGATGCTGGGTATCGAACCCGGGTTGGCCACATGCGAGGCAAAGTCCTATTCCCTGTGCTATTGCTCCAGCCCTGAACTTAGAAAACTCTAAAGGAATCTAGTCCAATGGCAAAAGAAATTAAGCAAAAGTAAACAAATGGGACTACAAGAGTCAAAAACTTTCCTGCACAGCAAAAGAAACATTGATTAAAATGAAAAGATACTTTGTTTTAAGGGAGAAAATATTTCTATACAATTGACAAAGAACTAATATACAAGACATTGAAGGAACTCATAAAACTGAACTAGAAAATAAGCAATCTCATCAAAAAATGGGTTGAGCTAGACACAATTCATCAAAGAAGACACATGGATGGCCAACAGGCATATGAAAAAAATACACATTTAATTTATTATCTTGGAAATGCAAATCAGAATGGCAGTGAGATGCTGCCTCACATTTCTGAGAATGACTTGTATCCAAAATACTGGGAACAAGTGCTGGCAGGGATAAAGAAAATAGGAACTTTTTTAAATTATGGATGGGAATATAAATTGGTCCATCCTTTATGGAAAACTGTAGAGAATTCTCAAAATGTTAAAAGGTTCCAGCATTTCCACTTCGAGGTATTGGTACAAAGAACATAAAAATACGGATTAAAAAAAGTTGTAGGGGCTGGAGCAATAGCACAGTGGGTAGGGCGTTTGCCTTGCACGTGGCCAACCCAGGTTCGATTCCCAGCATTCCATGTGGTCCCCCGAGCAGCACCACCAGGAGTGATTCCTGGATGCAAAGCCAGGAGTAACCCCCCTGAGCATCTCGCTGGGTGTGACCCAAAAAGTAAAAAAAAAAAAAAAAGTTGTATATGCACACCAATATTCACTGAAGCACTGTTTACTATAACCAAGATATGAAAATGACCCAAGTCTTCAACAGGAGGTCAGTGGGAAAAGAAAATGTATTTTTGCACTATGGAATGCCTTTTGTGTGAAAGGAAGATGAGATCTTGCCTTTTGCGATGGCATAAAGCGAGTTATAAGAGGTTGTACTAAATGATATAAGTCAGGGGGGAAAGGATAAGTAACAAGATTTTTCATGTGCGGGGTATAGAGATGCAAAGCATGAGAACAGACAAACCCACCAGAAATAAAAGTCTGGACTCAGGTTTCAGAGCTGGTCATGGCATACCTAGCACATTAAGGAATGATCTCCCATATTTGTAAATTTCCCCTTTCCATTTAATCGCTTTTAACAAAACAGTCTATTTTGTATGAGTGAGTACATTGAGAGATGTAGATTCAAAAAGAGCACAGAGGAAAACTATTCCTATGGTAAAGCCAGAGTTTAGATCACAGAGTTACCTGAGTTACCTCTTAAAGACACGTATTAGAAGTATTATAAGGCATGTGTAAAGCAATTTTTACCTTAAATAAATTAACCCATTTAACTGTACTTTCATTTATTTTCTTTCCCTTTTTTCTTTTTGTTGTTTCTGAGTTAGGGTCACACTCGGTGGTGCTCAGGGACAACTCCTAGTTTGGTGCTCACAGGTTGCAGAGTCCTCAGCGGGGTTGGCTGTTAAAAGGCTTTCCAACCCTTTGTGCTCTCTCCCCAGCATTGTTCTTCCTTTCAGAAAGCAGTTTCTCGGGAAGGGATTGTTAAATGTACTTGACCGCTTTTTGCATACAGTAGGTCTGTGTTCCATCCCCAGCATTGTATGGATCTTCCTTCCCCTGCATTGGTCCAGAAATAGCCCTAGAGTACTCCTGATAGAGAGTTTAGAGGACTGAGCGCATGCTAAGCACATGGGTTGTTCATGTTTAGTCCCCTGCACCACATGGTCCCCTTATTGCTGGGAGGAGGTCCTGAATACTGTCAGATGTTACCCCTAAGCCAAAATAATTCATGAAGTATAAGACAATATGTGTTGATATTTATATGTGAAACAATAAAAATTTATGTTGGAAATAAAATTCTGTTTTGTATTAATAGAAAATGGTGGCCGTACACCCGGCAGAAGTGGTCAATATACTCAACTGTTTCACCTTCAGTAAAGACAAACTAGTTGCTCTTGAACTATTAGCCTCGTAAGTATTTCTTATACACTGGAGAAATTCCAGAAGATCTTTAAGATGCCTTTTAACAGTTTTGTGTGTCAGTATATTAAAGTCATATTAACAAGTGAAACTACAGTGCTTTAATAGACATAAGATGGTGGGACTTACCAGCATTATTCATTTTGACTTGTTTTGCATTTGCTTTTCCTTCTTAGAAAGGATTGGTGACAAAACTTAAAACTTTTAGGTTCTACCACTTTCTGACATCATGATTTTTAGCTTAATTATATATTCTACCTAGGCTTCATATTCCTCAGTTGTTAAAAAAAATGAGGATCTTATTAGGATATGTGAATCTTAAGTATTAAAAGACGTGTAAACTAAGCATAGCATTTAATGAATTACTGTGATTATTTTATAAGCTCAAAGAGAAAAGGAACCTCCTGTTTTTCATAGTGGAAAGTCCTTAAGTTCTGTTTAAATACATACATTTCCTAAGAGTCCTTTAGGTATTTATAGATGTCTGCCGAAACAATTAAAAAGCTTAAGGTAAAACTTTATTTTTGGATCAACTTAGATTTTCAACCATTTAAGACTTAAGTTGGTTTTAGGGGGCTGGAGAGATAGCACAGCGGGTAGGGCGTTTGCCTTGCACACGGCCGACCCAGGTTCGATTCCCAGCATCCCATATGGTCCCGTGAGCACCGCCAGGAGTAACTCCTGAGTGCAGAGCCAGAAGTAATCCCTGTGCATCACCAGGTGTGACCCAAAAAGGGGAAAGAAAGACTTAAGTTGGTTTTAGTACTATGTATCCTATCACTCCTGATGGGAGTATATTTTCAAGAATCTCAGAATAGTGATTTTTATTTTTTGTGTTGCTTTGACTCCCAGTGGTGCTTGGGGACCATAAGGTGATGGGGATCAAACCAGTTTGGGCTGCATTTAAAGCCTTAACCACTGTACTATCTCTTTGGCCCCTAAAGTGTTACTTTTTTCTTAGATGAGACCAGGTAGACTTCAGTTCAGTTACTATACTTAGCAACATCGCTATTGTGTTTATACTTTCCATAGGAGTAAGTTACCATACTTTTCTCCCTATAATTTGGGGAAAATCTTACTTGGGTATATTTGTGTGAAAACCAAAGGTGGTTTGCCTCTGCGTATATGCCCTGTTTCTTGATTGAAAAACTAAACTATTTCTTTCATAGAAATATTGTTGATGCTCAGAATTCTCGTCCCATTGAAGATTTATTCAGGATAAATATGTCTGAGAAGAAACGGTGTAAGAGAGTACTAGAACAGGTAATTTATGCAAGATTGCCATTTAACTGTTGCTTCGGTTTTTCTGGTGTTGTTGGAGAAGAAAGAACCACCTTATTCTGTGTTGACTTGGGTGACTTGGCTGCTATGATCTGGTGGCTTAGGATGTGGCTCAGCAGTAGAGCGCTTGTCTGGCATAGGGAAGCCCTGGCTGAGTCAACCCAACTCCAAAATATGATTTAACATAAAGAATGGACTTCACAGGGCTGGTGCGATAGTATAGCAGTAAGACACTTACCTTCCACGTAACTGGCCCAGTTTTATTCCTTAGTACACTGTATTGTCTCCCGAGCCCTGCCAGGAATAAGCCTGAGCATTACCTGGTCTGAGCCCCTGCTTAAAAAAATCATGAATTTCCAGAAATCACTGGAGTAGAACTTTAACGGGGGGTAGGGTGTACTGGCAGATGCAGAGATAACTTGATGAAGGTGTGTGGCCAGGACTAGTACATTAGAGAGTTGGAACTTTTGAGGTGTATTTGTTAGTTTGGGGGCCACACCTGAAAATGAGCTCAGGACTTATTCCTGATTCCACTCAGGGATCTCTCCTGGCAGGGCTGGAGGAACCATACAGGGTGCCATGGATCAAATCCCAGTCTGCTCTATGCAAGGCCTATCCATTATTCTATCTCTCTGGCCCGTAGTCTATTCATTGTGTCTTTAAAATAGTGTTGCCAGGCTGGAGCGATAGCACAGTGGGTAGGGCATTTGCCTTGCATGCGGCCGACCTGGGTTCAATTCCCAGCATTACTGTATGGTCCCCTGAGCACCGCCAGGGGGTAATTCCTGAGTGCAGAGCCAGGAGTAACCCCTATGCATTGTCAGGTGTGACCCAAAGAGCCAAAAAAAAAAAAAAAAGGAAAAGTGTTGCCATTTTAATGATTCCATTTAAGAAATGATTTTACTTACTAATTATGGTCATTTTCCTCCTGAGAGTGTTGATTGCAGGGTAAACAGATTGAATGTGATACTTCTTTTTTGAGTGTTTGGGCCATACCCAGCAATGCTCAGGGCTTACTCCTGGCAGTGGTTAAGGGAACATATGTGGTCTTGGGAATCAAACCAGAGCCAGCCACATACAAGGCAAGCACCTTTAATCTTTGTGCTTTCTCTCTAACCCTGATGTCCTTTTTTAGTTTATGTTTTTATATAGGCTTTTCAATGTCCAGAATACTTAATCCAAGCATTTGTCTTTTTTTCTACCCCCTTTTTTTAATGTTACAGGCTTTCAAGGGGGGCTGCAAAGCTCCTCATGCAATGATATCTTCTTGTGGGACAATCCCAGGAAATCCATATCCCAAAGGAAAACCAAGTCGTATCAATGGAATTTTTCCAGTAAGCATCCTTTTATGGCTATCTATGGAACTCTTGTGGCTAAGTATAAAATTTAATGTAGTTAAAATTTGTAAAGAAAATGTTAGCGAATGGAATTTTATTATATCTGCAACTTAACTGATGGAATTTTCCACTGATAGTTTTTCTATAAATTACATTAAAGTGTAAAATCCACAAAAGAACAAGCCAGAATAGATAAGGGTGATTTTATTTTTCCAAGTCTTTGTGATCACTGATTTATATTAGTAATAACATACTTTTAGAGATTCAGTATTCCTCTAGAAATTTCAGGGTTAAGTATGGAAATTGCATGTAATATTGCTGTCCTTGAGAGCAACATTATATAATAAAGTCCCTCAGAAGGCCTTTAAAAAACAAAACTACAAACCAAGGAATTTTTTTATAAAATTACTTTTTAAAAAATCGGTACATTTTTCTTCTTGTGTGAGAACCCTGAAACTTACTAGATTAAGACAAACATTATACCCGGTAGTTTCTAGGAATCTGGGAGTGACTGAACATGGTTCTGCCGCGTTTCTCATGGCTGCAGTCAGTTGAGAACTTGATTGGAGCTCAAAGCTACTCTGCTTACAAGGTTTTACATGACTAGCAAGTTAGTATTGGTCACTTGTCACCATAGGAACTTTTCTATAGTATCTCTTCCTCCAGATTAAATATTCCAGGAGAGGGAACCTCCCTTACCCTTGGAAGTCAGATGCCACCAGTTATCCCTATCAGTCCTATTCATTTTGGAAGGGATCACTGGACCACCTTGGACCTTGACTGCCATACTACTGTGCACCACTTGTGCACATACTCTCTTATATTGTGTGTCCATATCCACATCTGTTAATTATTATAAAACAGGGTCTGGTGTGATTATCAAGTATCTTACTGAGTGCAGAAAACACCAGTTTTTGGACATTTATTTTCAGCTGTAATGTAGGGACTTTATTTTTTTTTTGGCACCGTGGTTTACAAGACATGATAGAATTTCATGCATCATAATGCAGTCCCTTACCACACCCTCTGTCAGTGTCCAAGTCCCTCCACCACCGTTCAGTGTCGTCATCCCCTTCCAGCACCCTCCATACATATTTGTGCATGTTTGGGAGGGCAGCCTGGTAGAAGAGAGTTAGGGAGGACCTTGTCAAGGTCATCAGTCTGGAGTCTAGCCTTGAATTCCCCCCCTTATATCTTTTTCTTATAATATAGTGAGGTGTTTGGCTTTGTCTTTGCTTTTATACTTTTTTGAAAGTCTTAATTATTTTATTCGTTTTTACTTTTAAAATAGGGAACTCCTTTGAAAAAAGATGGTGAAGAATGTACCAATGAAGGCAAAGGAATTGCTGCACGAATTCTTGGGCCATCAAAACCAGTATGTTTACAAAATAAATGACTAAAGTTCTTAAACTAAAGTTCTCTTGCATATATATTATATCTGTTTAAAGCATAAAAATCTATTTTTGTATTAAGAGTTCAAAATGTATTAGAAATCTAGGAAAGTATATAGTCTAGGAAACTATAGTATAATTTACACAGTCTTGAAAGAAAGGACCTTTGAATCCAGTCAGATTGTTGGGGTTTATTTCCTTTCCCTATTCACTTTTGCTTTTCATCTGCAAGTAGAGTGTATGAAGGCTTCATATTAAAGGTTGTGTTTAGATTGAATTAATATTAGTGCAAGTGTTTAGACTGAATTAATATTAGTGCAACAAGAAAAGACCTATGAAGTTTGAGAATTATCTCTGGAGGGTCAGGGCCAGTGGGTTTGTTGCCAGAGAGAAACTAGAGCTGCTCAGGACTTACTCCTGGCACTGCATACAGCAGTCATTCCTGTGGGACCATATGGGATATCAGTGATCGAACCCACATCGGCCATGTGCAGTGCAATTGCTCTGCTATGTCTGGCCTTGACTGAGAGTATTTTCAACTAGGCGATCCTGACACAACTGTTAAGAGTATTAAAACTTAGCACTTTCCCACCTTGTAGTCTCAGCCTGTCCTGACAAAGCTTCAGTTACAGTTGTTTATAGCAGGATTATGTCAGATCATAGTCTTTACACAAGATTATTGCTTCATCCAGGGCCATTCTGAGAGCTTGAAAGAATTGCGTATCATTGCCATGAAGCATGCTCTTTTTTCCTTCTCTGCCAGTAGTAGATACTTCTGTTATCACTTCTTAATGCTCAGTTCCTTACATTAATTCCCTCAATTATAAAGTAGATATTTGTGTACTTAGAAAAAAAATAGACTAGAATATTGAATTCATTTTAGTCTGCATCCTACTAGAGTTGGCAGAACATAAAATGCTAAAAGAAACTTTTTTTTCTTTCTAAAAGCAAAATGGGTAGGGGTAAAGAATTAAGTTTTGGAGTTACTTCAGTATTTGAAATTCCAGAACCTAGTTGATTTCTTATGCTATGTAATACATAGGGATTCTTGGAGATTGGCTAGGTCAGGGACCCTTATTGACACTCTTTAGACTAAGTCACCTGACCCTTCATTGGAGATACTAAAATAAAAAAGAAATGCCTTCAGAGCAGACCATGGCAGGCTCTACCTTTGGAATTTAATAGGAACTACATTTGTTAACACAGTTGTCTGTTAACACTCTGGTCTGTTCTATATAGTATAAGAAAATTGACATCTAGGGCATTTTCAGCCTCTTAGAAATAAATATATATAATTTTTTTTTGAGGGGGGGGGGTCACACCCGGCGATGCTCAGGGCCCACTCCTGGCTTGTGCACCCAGGAATCCCTTCTGACGGTGCTCGGGGGACCATATGGGATGCTGAGAATCGAACCCGTGTTGGCCATGTTAGCTGCGGGCAAGGCAAACGCCCTACCCATATTCATTTATCTTGCACACAGCGGACTTGGATTCAATCCCCAGCATCCCGTATGGTCCCCAAGCACCACCAGGAGTACTTTTTAAGTGCCGAACTAGGAGTAATCCCTGAGTATTGCTGGTGTGACCCAAAAATCAAAAAACAAAAATTTTTTTAAAAAGGAAAAAAATAAGTATTTTGACAGACAAATCATATCATATATTGTTTTGCCCAACTACCACTTCTGTGGTATTTCTCCTAACCTAGTGTATTTTCTCCTCATCCAGCCGCCTTCAACGTACAATCCACACAAACCTGTTCCTTATCCAATACCTCCATGTCGGCCACATGCAACTATTGCACCAAGTAAGGGGTTCTTTCATTTTCACTTTCTTTCATTTTCATCTTTAATAAGTTTAAAGTAGGTATCGGTGTGTGTCCTTGGAAATCTGGAGCACTTATGAAATATGCTGCTATTAAATTTAATGTGACCCACAAGTAGCTAGTAGTGTCCTGGACTGTCAGACCCAGTTTAGCAGACAAGAATTTATTTAGGGTATTTTTTTTTTTTGATAAATTGCTTTTTTAAAATTAATGTTTTTTATTGCTATTATGATTTTGTGTGTGTGTGAAGCAAGATTACTTTTATTGAAAGTTATTTAGAAAGATGCGTGATGTGAGGAAAGAGAGAGGAAGAAGTAGATGTTTGAGAGAGAGAACAGAGGCTTCTCCAGAGTGGAACTAGGCAAGCAAAGAAACATAGTGACAAGCAAGATACATATTCAGGGGAGAACATGGCTTGAAGAACAAGCCTTGTTATGATTTTAAAAAATTTTTATTGGTTGAGATTCTGTGATTAACAGTAGCTTTTAATGATGGTTTCTTGTTTGTTACAATTTTCACTTTGGTAAATACTATTGGATCTTTTTTTGTTGGTTGGTTAGTTTGTTTTCAGAGGTATCATTTGTGCATTTGGCTTACACTAATCACATGCATGGCCTTGACAGCCCAACCCGACAATTTGTGTAGACAGTTTGTGTACGCCCTGCTGTTCAGTGGCTATATGCCTTGCATGGGCAAGTAATGATAAGTGTGGATCACCAGCTGTCTCCTTTGCTCTCTGTTTTCATTTAACCTCCGTGCAAGGTGCAGCTCCACCACAGTTTTAAAAATAAATAAATGATACTGAGTTATGTATCTTTTTAATTCCATTTTCATTTTAGGTGCTTATAACAACGCGGGTCTGGTACCGTTAGCCAATGTCATAGCTCCTGGTGTACCCCCTCCACCTCCATATACTCCTAATCCAATAGGAACAGGTAAAGTCAAGTGGTTTTTGTTCTCTTTTTCATGTTATGCAAATTCAGGTCTCATGCATGCATGGCATGCGCTCTATCATTGAGCCACATCTTCACCCAGAAATCTTGTCATTGTGGCTATTAAAAATAAGTAGTTTATTTATACCAGATGTATACCGGGAGGAGAGAGTTGTTTGACATGATGTATCTGAACAGAGAGCAGCTCTCAGGGGTGTCAGGTTCTCCACCTCAAGGGCTTTGCACTGCCTCAACCAGTGTGGTTCCTCCTTGACAACTTCTAGAATGGGGCCTTCCTAGAAGGAAGGGTGCAGGGGTGCAGGTCCCTTCACTTGCTGGGATCTTCATGATTTGGGAGACCCTGCTCTCATCTGGCAATGGATTCTGTACTCCGCATCCATCTCTGACTTGCATGTCTACTAGAGTTGTGTGTGATGTGCTCAGAAGTGACTGACAGTGGTTCCTCTCTGCATTCTGTGCAGGCTCTGACCCATACTGGACAGCACACTCATCATCACCATCGCTTGGGTCCAAAACGTAGCTTAGACTATCCGTAAATACCCGTGTTCATTATAACCTGCTGAGGAGAGGGGAGCGGGTGGGCTCAGTGGCTTGTATTTCCATCAGACTTCATGTAGTTACTGCTCTGCATCCCTGCACACACACACTTAAATTTTGCTTTATCTAACATCATGCGTAGTTATTTTTCTGAGCCCATCTGGTGACTATTTTGTGGTGATGAGCAGTTTAGCTAAACCTCAAAGTTAACTTTTTAATTTATTTTCATATAGAAAATGAAGACGTTTCCAATCAATCAAAACCTCCACAGAATCAAAGTGAGTATCATATTTGATGCAGAAATGTCTGTGCCGAGAGTTGCACTGTGAACACTTTGAGTTCCGTTGATTCTGACTCTTCATGTTGTAAGGAAAATTCCTGACTAAGGAATTTTAGTAATTGGTGCTTGCTGATGTGTTTGCACTGACAGGGGTTTAATTAACCATATGTCTTTGTTTCCTGTTTGTCAAATTTGCAGTATAATCCACAGTGCTAGGTGGCATTCTCTCCACACTATCTTTGCATTGTGTGATACTGGAAACCGCATTTCCTTGCTGGTGTAAGCAAATAGATACTGTTTCCACAGATGCTAAATGGGATATATAGGGTAGAATTACTCCAGATTCAATAAGTATTTGGAGTCATCTAACAATGTAGCAAAGTAAAGCGTGCTGCAAGGTCGAGAGAGGAGTGGAAGGGAGCAGGAATGGGGCTTGCACAGTGCCTGCAGAGGGCAGCAGCGCTGTAACATTTCAGTCCTTCTCTCATGGGCTATGTGGTCAGGAAGAAGGAGATGGTTTCTAGTTCGAGATCAAAACGTGGGTTAGCTCTTGTGTAGCTGATGAGTTTGATCATTATAGCACATGGTCAGGGCTTTCTGCAAAGGAGAATTCCATTCTCTGAGAGGGGTGCCTAAGTGGTAGGCATATAGTTTTTAGCAAGAACTTTTTTAAGGAGGGTGGAAAGAAGGTAAGTGGGATGATGCCGCGACATCCAGGGGTTTTGTGGTTGTTGTTTGGGAGCCATGCCCAGCAGTGTTCAAGGCTTACTCCCGACTCTGCACTAAGGAACCACTCCTGGTGGGACTCAGGGGTCCGTGTGTGAAACTGGGGAATCAATCCCAGGTCACCTGCATCTAAAGAAAGCACTTTACCCGCTGTACTAATTGCTCCAGCCCAGGATATCCAGATTCTTATCCTGGTGGCAGTACAGCCAGCTTTAGAACTTTAGTACGTTGTTTAACTTTATGGAAAGGAAATTAAGGTAACGTCAACCTATATATCGCATTCATATCTCCATTTAAAGGGGAATAAAAGGTAAAGGCCCTCCCGTTGATCGTCGATTTGCTCGAGCGGGCCCAGTAACGTCTCCATTGGAGACTTTGTTGTTACTGTGTCTGGCATATCGAATACTCTCGGTAGCTTGCCGGGCTCTCCGAGAGGGGCAGAGGAATCGAACTCGGGTCGACCATGTTGGCCACTTGTAAGGCGAACGCCCTACCCGCTGTGCTATCGCTTAAAGGGGAATATGCAGGATAAATAATTTTTCAACATATTTTGTTTTCCTGCACCATATTGCCATGTTTGAACTGTCTTAAAATAAGGACAAACTAGTGGAAAGGTTAAAAACATGGGTCTGACAGGCCTGGTTCTGTCACTTCATAGCTGAATGGCTTTTTTTTCGGGTACCACACCCAGTGGTGCTCAGGACTTATTCCTGACTCTGTTCAAGCCCTGGTGGGGTTCAAGGAACCATATGGGGTACTGAAGATCAAAACTGAGTAAGCTCTGTACAAGGCTAGTGCCCTACCCACTATGCTATCTCTAGCCCCCATGAATTTTCTTTGTAATTGTAGCATGATATCATTTAATGAGATACTGACTCTTAGTCATGTTGAAAGAATTAATATATCATTTACTGTCAGCATAAGTGTACTGCAGGTCTCTGAACTTACCCATCTCGTATAACTGAAATTTTGGATACTGTTTAAAACTGCAAGATATTTGATGAGATTGCATAATCACACCAAGCAAGCTCCAGATTGCCCATCTACAAATTTGGGATGTTACTAATACATGCCTCAGAGGGCGATTTTCATTAGAACAAATTCGGTCATGGGTGTGAAATATTTAACCCATAAGTTTGGGCAGGTAGTGTCCTTATGGTTAACCAGGTTAGCTAACGAGAAAGTGGTGCCTGTTATTGTATGTCTGAGGACATCAGACTAGAGGAAGCTGCATAGAATGACAATTTGGATTCTTGAGTTCAACTCAGAATGGCAACTAAATTCTGGGAAGATTCATTTTGAGTCCCAGAAGGACTTTGATGCCCTTGAAAGGGAAACGGTATCTTGAAAACTCCTGAGATGGGAGTTGGCCTGTGACCCTTACTATAGCTGAGGATTTAAGAGGATGAAAGGCAATGTCAGCATATCACGATTCTTTATTTTTTCCAGTTGGAGTCTTTCCAACTCGTGTCAGAGCAGGATCTGGGCCCAGGATCTTAACAGAGGCGTCATGGCTAGCAACTTGTACAGGGCAGTTTCCTTATGGTTCTTGTGGCCGGGAGCTTTGACGTCATTAAAGGCCACGGGAACATGGGTACGTTTCTTGAGTTAGAGGAATTAGAATCTCTCAACATTAGGTACCAGCCCCTTGCCTCTTTGTTTCTCCCACAGCGTTTCCTACCCCAGCAAGTCAGCTCTTTTCTTCTCCCCATGGGTCGAACCCCTCGACGCCCGCTGCCACGCCCGTCTCTACGGCCTCCCCGGTCAAGACCGTCAGTCACCCGTCGGCGTCCGTAGTGGCCACGGCGCCTGGGATGAACGTGCCAAGCGCCATCCTTCCCGTGTTCGCGGGCCAGGTGTCCGTGGCCACCCACGTCCCGCAGCAGTCGGCGCCAAACCCCACCGTCATCAGGGCCCCGTCCCTGCCCGCCGCGCCCGCCACCCCGGTGCACAGCACAGCCACCACGCCGGTCCCTTCGGCGCTCTCCAGCCTCGTGCCCCTGCCCGGGCCTTCGGCCGCCCCTTCCCCGGCCCCTCCGGCCGCCTCGACGCCGCGGGCCACCCCGGCTGCCCACGAGACCTTCGCTTCTACTTCGGCTCCTTTCGCCAACCTCCCCTTCTCGGCCACGTCCAGTGCCGCGCCTGCCACCCCCAGTTCAGCCTCGCTGTCGTCGGTGTTCGCAGGACTCCCCGTGCCCCTGACCCCCGCGTCCCAGGCGCTGTCCACGCCTACCCCGTCGGTGATGACCAGCGCGTCTGGCCCGAGCAGCGGCGGGGTCGCCGCCGCCCTGGGGGTGAATAGCCCCCTCCTGTCGGCCCTGAAAGGCTTCCTGACGTCCAACGACACCAGCCTCATCAGCTCGACTGCGCTGCCGGCCGCCGTGACCAGCGGCCTAGCCCCGCTCGCCTCCCTGCAGGCCCCCAACGCCGACGCCCCTGCTGCTGCGGCTGCTGCTGCCACCGCCGCACCCAAGGGCTACGCGCCGGCCGCCGGGCCCGCCCCGCCGCGCTCGGCCACCCCGGGCCTGGCCGTGTTCCCCGGGCTGCCGGCCACCTCCACCCCGTCGTCCGCACCGGTGCAGGCGGCCCTCCCGCCCACCGCAGCCGCCTCCACCGCGCTGCCCGTCAGCGGCGGCGGCGGCGGCAGCGGCCCCCCGACGGCCCCCCTGTTGCACGGCTCCCACCCGAGCGGCTCCGAGCTGCACCTGCCCTCCACCCCCGTCCCCGCCGCCGCGGCTGCCACCACCCTGTCCATCCTGATCAAGACGGAGCCCACCAGCCCCACCCCGTCCGCCTTCAAGGGCCCCTCCCACCCCGCCACCCCCCGCGCACGCCACTTTAGGGCTGTCGGGGACGCTGGGCCGCGCGTACACGTCGGCGTCCGTGCCCATCAGCTTAGCGACTTGCCTTAACCCCGCCCTGGCAGGGCTCTCCACCCTGAGCGCCCCCCTGAACGTCTCGAACCCGCTCTCCTCCATGGCCCTGCCGCCGCCGCACGGCTCCTCCACGCCCATGGCACCCGTCTTCCCCGCGCTGCCCCCCTTCACCTCCCTGACCAGCAACTTCCCGCTCACCGGGAACCCGGCGCTCAACCCGCCCGTGTCTCTGCCGGGGTCGCTCCTGGCCACCTCGGCCGCCGCTGCCACCACCGCCACGTCCCTGCCGCACCCCGCCGCCTCCACCGCCGCTGTGCCCGTGTCCGCCGCCCCGTTCCCGCTCAACCTGTCCACGGCCGTCCCCTCGCTCTTCTCCGTCACCCAGGGGCCCCTGCAGGCCTCGACTCCCTCCTACCCCGGCTTCTCCGTCTCCAACACCCCGAGCGTCACCCCGGCCCTCCCCTCGTTCCCCGGCCTGCAGGCTCCAACCACGGTGGCCGCGGTGACCCCGCTCCCCGTGGCCGCCACGGCCCCGTCGCCAGCTCCCGTCCTGCCGGGGTTCGCCTCTGCATTTAGCTCCAACTTCAACTCCGCGCTCGTGGCACAAGCCGGGTACGTGGATTGCTCGGGAATTCCGTTTGGATCAGCCTGTTTCGGATTCGGCACTCAGGGTCCCTTTGTCGTCCGGGCACCAGGGGCGGGTGCTTAGGATCAAACCGAGGGCCTGTCTCGCTGACCCCCGGAGTTTTAAGCCATTCCAATGAAAAGCAAAATCTTACTAACGATTTTAAGTTTGGGTTTTATTTTTCTGCGCTGCAGCTTCATGCCCAGCGTTTGTTTTATGACTGCTTAACCGTGTTCCGACGTACTATGTTAACTCTTAACATGGATAATGTTAAGATTTGATATTCCATAATTTACTTAATGGTAAGACAGTGAACAATATTGCACATAAAGATTTCATACTGATACACTTGAGTGGTACCAGTAAATGCTTTCCTAATTCCTTCCAACAGTCAAAGTTTTGTTGTTTGGTTTTTTGGTTTTTGTTTTTTTTTTTTTTTTAATTTTTAGACAGTCCCAAGGTAGATTTTGGCAAATGTAGGAACTCTGCCTTTTCTGCATTTTGACATGTTCGTTATTGTTTTAGCTTATCATCTGGACTTCAAGCTGCAGGCAGTTCTGTTTTTCCAGGCCTTCTGTCCCTCCCAGGGATCCCTGGGTTTTCCCAGAATCCTTCGCAGTCATCCTTGCAAGAATTACAACACAATGCGGCTGCACAGTCAGCTTTGTTACAGCAGGTAAGCTGCATGAATAACAGAGTTTCTGTGGTAACGTTGCCCTACCAGTTGTGATACCCCACACTAGCAAAGCTCTTTCCAGCATGTCTGGAGATTTGATGATCCGTTCTCTCCAAATTAGCATTATATGCTTGTCTTGTATCAACTGTTGTTCCTGCTGGTACACTTTAATATCTCAGCTTGGCAATTTTTACAAACGGAGAGTTTGTACATGACAGCTAAATTTTACCTTTCCTCTGTAATTACAGCAAAAATAATGTGCTATTAAAGCAAATTTATCTTGTAAACCTGTCACCTTTTTTGTAAGGAATATTACCTTCAAATTAGACCTTCATTTGAGGAAGTCTGAATGTTTCGTAAATATTTCAGAAGACTCCGTGGCCCAAGCAATAGTACAGTGGGTAGGGTGTTTGCCGTGCACAAGAGTTTGACCCTTGGCACCCCGCATAGTCCCCCCAACCCTGTCAGGAGTGATTTCTTAGCACAGAGACAGGAAAAAGCCTGGAGCAGCACCAGGCATGGCCCCCAAACAAAGAAGAAAGAAGCTTGGGGCAGAAAGATAGTATGGGGGTAAGGCAGGTAAGGACTTGGCCTTGTATGCAGCCAACTCGGGTTTATTCCCGCACCACATACGTTCTATGAGCCTAACCAGGTATGCAACTGTAACCCCAAAACAATTTTTAAAAATTTGTTTCTAGGAACCTGAGCACAGTTTCTTGCCCTCGATAGTATTTCTTTGTTTTCTATTCTAAATACTGTTAGTGTAGCATAAGCAAAAGTAGTACAGTTGGTCATCCCAGGTGGGTGTATGGCTAAGCTGTAAAGTACTTGGCGTTGCATGTCCGAGGTCCTGGATTCTATCCCTGACATTGGAAGTAGATGAAAGAAGGCATGTGTTCAGTATGAGCTGAACTCACACATTGAATTTCATACTCCATTCAGCCATATGTTCTTCCTTCAGGTCCACTCTGCTTCGGTTCTGGAAAGCTACCCAGCTCAGCCAGATGGTTTTCCTAGTTACCCTTCAACACCAGGAACACCGTTTTCTTTGCAACCTGGCCTATCCCAAAGTGGGTGGCAGTGAATCTGTTCTAACTTTGTATTCTGCTCCGTAACAACATCAGAATTGCCCGAGCACTGCAGTAAAGGACATTCTGAGAGATGTGGAGTTGGCCATGAGTTTAAAAAAGAAGAAGAAGAGACTGCAGATAATCCTAGGGAATTGAAATAACGGTTTTCAAATCGCATTTTTAATGAAGGTTTTAAATATGAACACTCCCCAGTGTAAATAAGCCGACAATAAATTGTGCGGAGGATAGTTTTAAGGTGTTTGGGAACTTTTCACCTCCCATCCTATCAAAGTTTGAGATGTGTATGTGATCTATGTAAGAAGAATATGAAAGAGGAGATTGAACTCTTTATAACCGAATACAGCCTTAAATCTGCTTGTATAGCATCCACTGACAGAGTAATAGTTGTGCCTCAGACTTAAGGGTTGCATGTGGCCCTGAGGGAGTCATTACCATTGGTATGCATGAATGGTTCCTTCAAGCATCACTGGAACACATTACTCCATATGTATCCACAAAAGGATCTCGAGAACACAGTTATTTTACTAATCATGATATATATATGTATATATATAAACATATATGTATATATATACACACATATATATACGTATACTGCTGAAGTTAACTCAATGTATTTCAGGTAAGTGAAAATGGTGCTTAATATAGTCTTTAGAATGACTTTCAGGTGTTTTCAACTCAATATATATATATGTGTGTGTATATATGCATATATATACATACATATATGTGTGTATATATCCAGAACTGCTTTACTACAGAAATACAAGTAAGGTTTCTGATCATTTGCCTTCAAAACTTTAATTAATCTCAGCAGTATCCAAATGAGGGAGGAACATGTGACTGACCCTTGGGCCATCTCTATTACTCCGCGTTCTCTGGAAGCTCTTGGTGAATGTTTACAATCATGGGACATAGGATTTCTACTTACAGGGAAAGTGGAAGCTTATCTAAGATAATTCTGTGACAGCAAACGGAGAAGACTTGCTCTGTTAGTAAACCTGCAGTGTATACTCAAAGGACCTGTGGTAGTATAACCTGATTGAATGTTATTAATTTAAGTGGAATAACTGCCACATGTGGGATGGTGGGGGAGTGGGAAGAAAAACTTCCAATCCTGTAATGGAGAGTGTGAACTATAGAATCTACTGTAGTACATTTCAGCACCTAGAAATTTTACTTTTATAAAGATGGCGTCTGAAAGATGTTGCTAATGTATTTTCCTTCACTGTGGGGAACAAACTTTTTAAGTATATTAATAAATATTCCTGTATGGTTAGTTTTTAACAATTTTTTAAAATAAACTTTATGGATATGACAAATATTTTCTGTGTTTTATTAAATGCTTGAACAGGCTTTCTGATTTTTTTTTGTATGTGCTAGACCTAACATAATTTAGTTAAAACTCAGTTTATTCTATTGATTATTCTTTAAAAGAAATACCTTGTCATAACACATGAAACAGACTGACTTAAGCCTTTATTATCTTGAAACAAAATGTAACCTTATAGTTAAATATATGTAAGTCACTTGTGTTATCTTGCACTCATAAAACTTTTTAAAAGTTACATTGTATCACTTACATATGTTTCCCATTCACTTAAAAAAGTTACCCCATGAATAGTCTTTCTATGGTGATGCTTCAGCTGAGTTTATTTCCAAGGTCCTAAGAGCCCCTTAGTAATCAAAGAAACAATATTTCAGTTATCTTGCACTGATTGGGCCAAAAAAGGTTTATATGAGAACATTTTGGAAACACTTGGAATGACTGGAACATGTTTTATGTACAATAACCATAGGAGCAAGTGCTAGCAGCCTAATTTACTAAAAAAGCCAAGACAGGACAGTAAGTGATAACTTTGAACCAAGTATTCACCACCAATGCCAGTCTATTCGTTCTCCCTCATTCTTTGAAAATACATAGGTGCAGGATTCGGTACTTACTGCATAACAAGATGGAATTTGAATGAATGAATCTATAAAGGAGTGACCTGATTTCAAAAGACATAAATGACGGTAACAAGTTGAGCATTTGTTTTGTGAACAAGTGAATTTTTTTTTTTTTTTTTTTTTTTTGCTTTGGGTCATAACCAGCGATGCACAGGGGTTACTCCTGACTCTTCACTCGGGAATTACTCCTGGCAGTGCTCAGGGGACCATATGGGATGCTGGGACTCGAACCTGGGTCGGCTGCGTGCAAGGCAAACGCCCTACCCACTGTGCTATCGCTCCAGCCCCACAACAGTGAAAATTTATTGGGAAGCACTGTGCAAAAATCATTAAGCTGGGCAAAGATGCAGCTCAGTAGTGGCTCTGGGTTGAGACCCCAGCACTCAGCAATCACTTAGGCTGTAGTACAGAAGCTAGTTTAGAGGTAGGAAACTGTAGACTTATTCTGAAGTCCAAAAATGAAGAGGATGAGTGCAGGCAGTATAGAAAGGAAATGGGAACTTTCACTTCTCATTATGGGCAGTTTCTTGTTTCCATTTTCTTAAACACCTGGAATCTATATAATGTGTAACCGTGTGACCACTGCCAGTCTGCATTCATAAATCTTCGTTTTCAACCTTACCACTTGATTTGCCAGGTGAGTTTAAGTCTGTTATTTATAAGATAGATGTTTCACAGTCTTCTAAAATAAAGGTAATTGTACTTTGTACTTTGTCTTTAGAAACTACAGAATACACACCACATTGGATGAAAGTAAAGCAGAAGGCAACCAATCTCGATTAAGAAAATATTAACACACAAGGCTCAAGCTGTAACAATCTGTTAGCAATCTCTTATAAGGGCTCACTAGCTCCACGGTGAGGTGCACAGTCTTCACACACTTTCTTCTAAGGAAATCTCGATCATTTTTAGCATACTAATAACAAGCAATACAAAATAAATCATTTAGGTCTGCTATTGGTGGTTGGGGAAAGTTGGAAATAATGGAGGTGGTGGTGTAATGGAGGGATTGGTATTGAGATATTGAATGTAATCACGTGAACAACTTTATAAAAAATACAACAGGACAAATAGCAGCTAATGTTTAATTTGAATTCATTAAAGGATGAAATATAGGTCAATATTGATTAAGTTAGAAAGGATGATCACCTAGTGTTTCTAAGGTCCTCTTGCTCAGGAGAGGCATTATGATAGATTTTTACTTGAAAGTATTGGCCCTTCACACATCGAAAAGAACAACCAGTGCAGGCGTGGATGTGGGGAGAAAGGGACTCTTTCATTGTTAGTGAGAATGCTGATTGGTCCAGCCTTTTTGGAAAACAATATGGACATCCTTCAGAAAATAGAAATTGAGCTTCCACATGACCCTGCCATACCACTTCTGGGTATATATCCTGAGGGTGCAAAAAAGCACAGTAGAAATGATGTCTGCATATGTATGTTCATTGCAGCACCGTTCACAGTAGCCAGAATCTGGAAACAACTTGAATGCCCAAGAACAAACGACTGGTTAAAGAAACTTTGATCTGTGCAATGGAATACTATGCAGCTATTAGGAAAGATGAAGTCATGAAATTTGCTTGTAAGCGGATGGTCACGGAGAGTATCATGCTAAGTGAAATGAGTCAAAAAGAGAGGGACAGGCATAGAATGACTGCACTCAATTGTGGAATATAAAATAACATGATACTGACACCCAAGGACAGTAGACACAAGGACCAGGAATATTGCTCCATAGTTGAAAGACTGCCTCTTTAGCGGGGGGAGAAGGCAACTGGAATAATGAAGGGATCACTAAGTCAATCATGGTATCATTCGGGATGGGAGATGTGTGCTCAAAGTAGATAAAGGACCAAACGTGATAGCCTCTTAGTATCTGTATTGCAAACCATAATGCCTAAACGTAGAGAGTATGGGGGAAATTGTCTGCCACAGAGGCGGGGGAGGTTTGGGATGGGGAGGATGGGGATACTGGGGACATTGGTGGTGGAAAATGTGCACTGGTAGAGGGATGGGTGTTCGATCATTGTATGACTGAAACTCAAACATGAAAGCTTTGTAACTGTATCTCATTGTAATTAAATTAAAAAAAAAAAAAAAGAAAGTATTGGCCCTTTTACTTGAAAGGACCAATAGGCCCTTAGTTTGTGCTGGGTAAAATTTAATGGTAATTATGACTTCTGATTAGGAGTGGTAGGGAGGATGGAGAATAAATTGTCTAAAGAAAAGATGAAAATAAGTAAATGGAAGAAATAAGGCAGGGGCCTGGGCATGTAACTCAGTAGAACATTTGCCATTCACATGTGAGGCCCTAAATTTCCTACAGATGCTAGGATTTAAAAAAAAAAAAAAAAGGTACCATAAGATGTTGGCTGTCATCTGTTTTATTAATCCTGTGACACTTGTGAATAAACAGGAAACAGCAGGCTCAAGGAATTTCAGGCTAGTTCAACTAAACTAGCAGCAGGCTCAAGGAATTTCAGGCTAGTTGAACTGAACAGTTCCCCAGAGGTTAGAGAAAACCTGTCCCTTTTGCCTCTCCCTTTCCCCTTAGTTTCTGTCCTTGCAGTAACCTGTTGCACACACTTTGTTTTAGTGATCACATCTGGGTTGTTCTTGCCAGCCTTGCACCTCTGATTGCATACAATGCTTGCTCGTCAGGGTTGCATCCATGTTAGCCGTGGGCATACACATTCTAGTTGTGCTCTTGAGCCTGGGGCAATTGCCCGCACATCTTTCATTTGTGCGCACTGATCTCACAGACAATGTTATATGAACTGGAGCATCAGGTCTCCTCTGCATATGGCAGTGCCAGAATTTATTTAGGATTTTGGGTCATACCCAGTGATGCTCAAGGCTCAATCCTGGGCTCTGCACTCACTTGATCACTTGATCACTTGACATCCTGTTATTCATCGATTCGCTCGAGCGGGCACCAGTAATGTCTCCATTCATCCCTGTCGCGTGCTAATGTAGCCCAATGGCAAGGAATATGAAGAGCCTCAAATCGATCGTTCAAGGCCTTGACGAAGAAGTCTGACCATCTCATAGGTGGAGGTGGGCGGCCACGTGATCTTTTGATGTCCCGTGGAATCCAGTCGGTAACGGCTCTAGTCCAGTGGTCATCTCCAAATCTCATTATGTGTCCAGCCCATCTGATTTTCGATGCCTTGGCAAATGAGACAGCATCCCTGATTCTTGACCATCGACGAAGGTCAGAACTTCAGATTCTTTCTCTCATTTGAGTGAAGCGTGATACTCCAAGCATAGCTCTTTCGATTCCTCTTTGGGAGACCCGAATAGCATTCTCATCATGTTTGCGTAGGGCCCAGGTCTCTGAGGCGTATGTTAATGCAGGAAAAACAGTGGAATCGAAGAGATGTGCACGGACCCGGAGGTTCTTTATCCTCTTAGCTATTTCTTCGACGCTCTTGAAGGCGTTCCAAGCCTCTCTCTTTCTCCTGCACAACTCAGGTGCCAGGTCTTTTGTCATGTTGACTTCTCGACCTACGTACACATAACTGTTGCATTCAGAGATGTTCGTCCCATTGAGAAGGAATGGAATGTCAGGAACGAGACCATTTCTCATAAACATTGTCTTTGTTAGATTCAGCTGTAGTTCGACCCTTCCACACTCACGGTCAAAGTCGGCTAGCATTTGTGCCGCTTGGCTGATGCTTGGTGTGATAAGAACAATGTCATCAGCGAAGCAGAGGTGGTGTAGTTGCCGACCGTCTATCTTCACTCCCATTGCTTCCCATTCTAGTGGTCGCATGACGTTCTCAAGGGTGGCACTGAAGAGTTTCAGTGAAATAGTATCACCCTGCCGAACCCCTCTCTTGACATCAATGATCACCTCCCTGTAGAATGGTGAGATCCTGGTAGTGAATCCGCAGTACAGCTCACGGAGGATCCTGATTTATTGACTTGAACGCCCTGTTTAGCTGGGGCCTCGATGACCGCTTCAGTCTCAACAGAATCAAAGACATTTGAATTACTTCTGGCAGTGCACAGGGAATCATATGGGATGTCAGGGATCAAACCCAGATTGACCTTGTGTAAGCAAATGCCCTACCTTCTGTACTGTCGTTCTAACCCCTTAACCACAAATCTTTCCCTAGGTCCCTTCAGTTCATTCTTACAGACCATCCTAGGTTCTTAAAACAAAACTCAGATGGGGCTGAAAAGAGAGGATAACAGGTGAAGCACTTACTTCACACATGGCCAACCCCGTTTCCATACCTGGCACCTCCAGGACTGATCCCAGAGCACAGTTATGAATAAAGGGTATCCCTGAGTAATAGCCAACATTGCGAGGCATGGCCCGAAAAGAGAAAAAAAAATAGTAAAAGAAGAAAAACTCCAGGTAACCCTTAATCAAAAAATTGGTGTAGATTCAAGGTTTGATGTCACAACTACATGGCTCCTCCAGCCTCCACGGAACCAGGCCTGGAGGCCCCCAGCACTGCCAGATCAAGTAGCACCAAAAACAGCCCCAGCCCACCACCACTATATTTTATGTAGAGGCCCCATAAATCGTTGTAGAAACAGAAATAGAGAGCACTTTTTAAAAAGAACTATCACGGGGCTAGGAAAATGGTCTGGAGTGCAGACAGGAACCCCAAACTCAATCCCTGGACCATTTCCCCAAATACCACCAGGAGTGACCCAAAAGCCCAAAAAATAGAAAAAGAAAAGGATTGTATCAAAATCAAGCTACAATAATGTCAGAAGTGTGTGCGCAATAGAACACTGGAAAACCTCAAAGTTTGGTTTATCATATTAATAGAGAAAGGATTGATGGTGGATGTGATGTTATCATCTGTCAGGAGAGAGTTCCTGAAATCAGAAACACAGAAAAGGGGAAAGCATTGAGGCTAGGATGGATTGTCCCACGGTGCAGTTTGTTTGAGACATACCTGTTCAAGGACAACATATATGTTAATGACAACACTATGAAGAGTGAAATAGGAGGGCTTGAGTAATAGTACTCCTATTTCTCAAGGGTTGTATACTGCGAGCCCATGCTCAATTCTAACATCCCATATGGTCCCCCATAAGCACCATCAGGAGTGATTCCTGAGTGCAGAGCCAGGAGTAACCCCTAAGCATTACCGGTGTAGTCCAAAAAACAACAAAGAAACAAGCAAAAAAAGTGGTAAATAGAGCTAAGACATTTGAAAAGCTCTCTTCAGGACTTCATTCAAAAAATTAGCAGAATGGAGGTGCAAAAACACAGAAAACACATTCCAGCAATTCCTAGCGGGTTTCTTCCCTGTACCTCAGGTCCCCATTCCCACCCCCTCACGTGTGAGGAAAGGGACCATTTGCATCATCTAAATCTATCATTTAGACAAAGGAGGAAACGATGAAAACAACTCCATTTCCTCCTACTGGGCCCAGCCTGGCCCTAGTGTTGCTGGCTGATGGAAGTCAGTCTTGCTTTCTAGGCTGAGATATTGGAACTTGGTGCAGGAAGAAGAAAAACAGTTGCTTAGTCATCTTCCTAGGGGATGTGTTCAGTGCAAGTGCCCTCGAGGCTCCTCTCAACTCCACCAGGGAACAATTATTACAGTTGTTTTCAACCTTGCACCTCAGTGACTGATGGCGCTGCTGTCATCAGAGGTATCTGGCTGCTAGTAAGGGGAAAATGTGTTTCGAAAGTAGCTAAAGGAACACTTCAAAAGCACTTCACAGCATCACTGGGGGAGGTAGAGTCTCCTAGGAAAAGGGCTTCCCACAGCAGGAAAGACTGTGAAAATGGGAAGCTTTCTCATGCTCTCCAAGAGATCTGAGAACCAAGGTAGTGATGATCAGTGATCAAAAAGAGTCAGCAAGAAAAGAGAATGGGTTGATAGTAGAATCAGGAATAGGCCCTTAATATTTCGAATCTGTTACAAACAGAGCTCTAGATAGAGGAGTGAAGAGAGATGATGAAAGTTTTGATATACTTGACCAATCTTCCACTTGAAGAAAGAGGAAAAGGAGGATACTGCAAAACCCCATGCAACATTTCTACTTTTGAAGATTTGTTTTGTTTTGTTTTATAGTGCCAAGGACTAAACTGTGCTTCACAAATTCAAGACACACATAGTCACATCCCTGGCTAGCTTTTCTATTTTTTAAAGAATATCACTGAGACCAGAAATAGGCAGCTCAGCACCCACTTAAGGTAACAGTAGCTACCTATCACTTTTCAAGAACAGTTCTTACTTGAGATATTATTCATGTAATATTTCACATAGTTCTTACAGATCACTCTGATAGAAATTGTTACCTTGTCTATTTTACAAGAGAAAACATGAAGAGGTTAAATCAGTTGCCCAATGTCACATGGCAAGTATAGTGTTTAATGTAGCCAGAATAATCCCAGACCCTGATCCTCAAGTTTCCACATCAAGCCCTAATCAAGATGCTGTGAAAATAATGCAAATGAAGCACCCTAAAGCAGATACTCATGAACTCTGCATGTACATTTGTGTCTAATTTTGCTGTAGGTTTGGGGGCTTTTGAACCATATCTTCTGATACTCAGGGAACAATCCCAGCTCTGTGCTCAGGGACTAGTCCTGATGGTGTTTGGTGGGGGGGGGGGGGGGGGGGGCGCTTGTGATATTGGGAATTAAGCCCAGGTCTTCTATATGCAAGCTCATGCTTCGGTCCATTGAGTTATTTCTCCACCCCACTGTGTGTCAGTTTTACTTTGTGTTTTTGGTCCCCAAACTCCTTTCCTAAAGTTCTAATATTCTATATTTTCTCTTATAACTTTAGTCTGTCAAGCTCTGGTTATTACTGCACTTTGAGTTCGTGAAGTAGGCAATTAGACTTATCAAGTAGCTGGCTAAAGTATCCTATGGTTGGGGAGGACTTTTTTTTTTAAAAGATAAACTTGCTAGAGAAAAAATATAACCAGATGATTAGAGAAGAAAGACTAGAAGGAACAGATGACTTGAGAAAGACCAGAGTTTGTTTCAGATAGTTTTTTTTTCACGAAGAGGAAAAAAAGTTATTAAGTGGAATATTGAGATTTTTTTTTAAAAAATGATTGTCAGAAGATTAGAGAAAATTGGTTATTTTGGTATTGGAAGAGTTCAAGTTCTTTGATTCCAAGTAGTATGATGAAAGAAGCTCTCTGGGGATTGGAGTCTGGGGATCTGAACTCAAGAAAGAGATTTGATATTTGTGCACTATTATCACTGACAAATGATTTATTCATTCATCTAGCAAATATTTGGAAGCATCTACTATGTACCTGCACTTCTGCAAATGCAGAAAAAGAGGGAAGATGCCAAGGTCAATACTAACAGACCTAGTCAGCCAGTCCCCTCATGGAAATTAGGATGTAAGCAAGGTCTCCAAATAATTTTTTCAAGAGATAAATTGTAGTTTAGGCTTTCCACTTTTGATCTATAACCACTACCCAATTACTCCAGTACAGTGTGAAAATGGGCAATGAATTATATAAACTTGATATGAAACAATAACACTTTTCTTCATAAAAATAGATGGGAGACCAAATTTAGCTCACAGCCTGCAGTTAACTAATCCCTGGTGTTGAAGAAGAAATAAACAGCATCCAGAATTACTTGTGCTGGTATGTGCAGAGGTCCTGTGGCAGAGAGAACACAGATGTAGGATCTGATAGGAGACCACTGAAAAAGCATGACATGAATGACGCTGGAATGTGACTGAGAGGATGACTGGCAGGATTTTATAGAACACAGGAATCAGTGTTCACTTTAATCCAGCAATTAACAGTGAGATTAAGCTAAACAGAGACAGGATCAGGTTTCATTTGAAAACATCACTCTCTGCTAAGAATGTGTGTCATGAATTGGATGACATTTCCTCCTGTGAAACGGAGACCCAGTTACAGTTTGCAGTGGAAGAGAAGTTACACGCAGTTCATAAATATGCATGAAATGTACAAGGTGTAGAAAATTACACAGGAATGTTGTCCAGACAGTCATACCATGAGCATATTCTTCTGAGTGTTCTCAGGAACAAAGGCAGTTGAACTCAGGAAAGGAATCCTTTTGTTTATGTGAGCAGGTTTCTTCACCAAGGTAACAACTGCTCCTTGGGGTGCTTCTGTAAAGAAGAGGAACTTCCCTCATGCGCTCATTCCACCTTTCTCCTCAGTCTTCTCTCCAGCTCATCTAGGTTGCTGCCTGGGGGCCAGGCTGGCTCCAAACCCATGAAAATTTGCCAAGTATAAAAGCTTCTCAAGAATGAGATGGATCCTGGGGCATCTACCCCCGAGAAGCCAGACAAAGAAAATTTAGTAGGTGAGTTTCCTTTTCCTGCTTGAAACTTGTTTATACATATTATGCAATGTAAGACTTCTGGTGTTATGGAGAGTTCTAGAATTAGTACAAGGTGGATGGATAAATGTTGAGATTGTCTTGGCTTTATTTAGAGCCCAGGAATATAGATTTATTACTTGTCTCACAATTTGCTTCCTACACAGCAGCTATAACTTGCTCTAGATTTTTCCATTTCAGATATTATTTATGTTTATCTTTGCATTCTTTTATTTTTTATTGAAGCAAACACATGCTGGAAGGCTGAAATTTGTGGGGGGACCTTCTGGGGAGGTCTGGGATTTGGAACCACAAGCAGCAATGCTCAGGGTATACTCCTGGTGGGGTTCAGAGGGATTGGCAAGGATAGAACCCAGGTGAGCTGTGTGAAAGGCAAGTGCCCTATCCTTGTTCTATCACTCTGGGCCCTGAAAAACTGAAATTAATCCATTTTTAAATTTTATCTTATTGTTCTATGGTTTAAAAAACAAACAAACCGGAAAGTTGGTTTCAGAACTGAGGTTCCCAAACAGGAGGTAGGGAGATGGTAAGGGGCAGAGAGGGAGGGGCAGACTCAGTGGGGTCCAGAGATGTGAGGAGTGGGCAGTCTGGTGGTGAGTGCAGGGCAGGGACACTGCATCCCTGACACAGAAGCATTAGCACTGTTTTAAGCCACGTTGTCTCAGCAATCATAATTTTGAAATGATGAAATGGTAGGAAAGCTGCTTTGAAGTGCATCATGTTTGATGCGTGAAGAGAAGCTGGGAAAAAGAAAACTTAGCCAGTAAGTTAAGATTACCATTTTAAGTGCTAACGGTTACTGTGTCTTACAAAGCATTTTATTTACCTTATTATTTTTGTCTTACAACCCAAATTCTGAGGTAGAAAGCATGTATAATAGCCTTCTTTTGTTTGGGAGTTTGGTGGTTCTTGGTTTAGGGTCACAGTCACACTTGTCCGGGCTCAAGGGCTATTTCTGGATCCTGGCCGGGTTGGGGGAGCCCAGAGGAGCCTGTTCTCTGTGGTGCTGGGAATTGGGGGAGCCTGTGGGGTGGAAGCTCTCTCATGCAGAACAAGCATCCCTGCCCTTTAAGGCATCTCCTGGGAACTGAATCTTGGCTAGTTTTAAAAACTTATTGTGAATCCAGAAAATGATGATGATAGGACACACCTGTGTCTCTATGCCCCTGCGTGCTCCTCCTTATACTTCCAAAGAAGTGATAGTGGCATTTGGTTTGGTTTTTTGTCTTGTTTTGGTGCCACATCCAGCAATTTTCAGGGGTCACTCCTGGCTCTGCACTCAGGAATTACAGCTGGAAGTGCTCAGAGAACCAGGTCAGGGATACAGGAATTGAACCCAGTTTGGGCACGTGCAAGCCCTACCTGCTGTATTTATCACTCCAGTTCCCATGGTAGTAGCAGTTTGGAATGGCAAACACACTTGTTATCGATTTATAAAAATAAAACTGCACTTAAGATCCTCAGGCATCACTCCTGGTGGTGGTTGGGGAGCCATATGGGGTATCAGGCAAAGCACCCTGGCCACTATTCTATCTCTCCAGTCCCAAGAATTGGAATCTAATGTTTCTCTTGAAGTGGGCATAATAACATTGCTATACCAGGCACAGTGATTATCATTTGGAAGCGCCAAGGAGAGGTCTTCTCAAGAATAGTCTTCATTGAGAGATGATTGTTAGAACATCATATGCCTAAAAATAAATCATAAGTAACTTTGTAACTCTAATTTACAGTGATTTACAGTTAAAAGAAGTTTTTTAAGAATATTCTTCACCAGAGCCATAGGGAAAACTCAATGGGCAGAGCACGGCCTGGGTTCCCTCCACAGAATCACCAGGGGCAACCCCTCCACACACAGCACAGATCTGGGAGTAGCCCCCAGTACCACTGGGTATGGCCCCCAAAACAAACAACAGGAGGAGAATATCATCATTATCTTGGAATGTTCCTTGGACAGGTTTGCTTCTACTTCATGATTAAGACATCAGCCTATCCTGCTCTTTCTGGGCTGGGTGAATGCTTAATACCACTGAGATATTCTAAAGTGTTTGTTGCTTTCCTGGGGTTTTAAGGTAATGGAAAAAGTTCATTATCATGAACAAATGAAACCGGGGCTTATAGTTTACAACGCCTGATTCCATACGCTTCAGGCGGCTTTGGAAAGAAGTAGTGCCCATTCTTCTCTGAGCTCTAGCCATGAGCATGCTGCATTAACAAGAGGCATTATCTAGTCCTTCCATGTGTCCAGAAATTGCATGAATGTTCTCTAGTTACTTCAATGGGGATGACTTTGATTTACAAGATAACACACATTTTAGGACTATAATTTCACCCTTCTACAAAAAGTTTCTACCATTACTCACTTACTGCCAAACGATCAACTATTGACCAATGTACTACAAACCAGTACTATCCATTGGAGTCTCCCACGCACCTTCCCACAAAAACTCTCTCCCACCCCCACATCTGACACACAAACACACACACATATGCACACACATACACACACTGCATATGCACAAACACCCCACATGCACACACAAACACACACACTCCGCATACACGCACACACATGCGCACATATACACGCACATCACACACACTCCACATGTGCGTGCGCACACACATACACACACACACTCCACATGCACACACACACACACACACGCATGCATGCATGCACGCGCACGCACAATCTCAATTCTGTTGTAAGAATCAAAGCGTTAGATTCGGATCTGCTTTGTCTCTCTGTTTTATTCTGGAATCACTCTAATGATTTTGGAGAAACATGTGGAGTGCCAGGCAGGAATCCTGCCCTCGGTTCTAGCTCTCTAGCTCCAATATTTTCTCTTTTCTTGTAGTTGAGTAGTATTCCATTATGGGTGCATACCACATCTTTCCTTTGACAGAAGGGCCCATAGCTGACAGTACTTAGTGATTCTGTACTAGGGGTTGTTTGGGGACCATGTTTTTACCTCTCCACCCACTCTACCCCATCTTCTTCCTCTCATCTGTTATTGGGATTTGGGGCTGTTTCCAGATCTTAGCTACTGTAAAACAGTGTGGTAATGAACATAGATTTCTTGCAATAACTAATGCGCCCACTGATGGCACTTATTTCTGACCTTCGCTCACAAGTGAACTATTGATCTGTATTTCTCTTATTCTTATTTCTGTTTGAATAACTTGAATGGGTTTTAGTGACTATTTTGGGGGGTCACAAATTTACTAATCTGAAAAAAGAGATGAAGAATAAAAGAAAGTGAAAGAACATCAGAAAAAGATATCTCTTGTTGACCTGCAGGTGGACAGAAAAAAAAACACAATCCTGTGAATGTTGAGAGAATAAAACAATCACTGAATGCACGCCTTTAGGATCCTTGGACTATCATGTGTTTTGGGGTGTGTAACAACATTCAGAAGCTCCCATCATACATGTCTCTAATTCCAAAGCCAGTGACCACTGAAGAGTAGAGGGTAATTTGCATACATCTCCTGACTCACCACTCAAGCCTTTGACATTTTCTATTTTCTCTGCTTTCTTTCCTTCTCTCTCTCTCTCTCTCTCTCTCTCTCTCTCTCTCTCCCCCCATCCCTCTTTCTCTCTCTCTCTTTATTTATTTACTTCTCTTGATCTCAGAAACCTGATCATGCAAATCTTAGAAGTTCTTCCTAATAAGAATATGCAAAAAAAGGGCTCCTGGGCATCACCTCCAGAAATTCTGGGGATGGTGAGATCTAGGATGAACTTGATACTTTGCCTCCAAACAAGTTCTTGAGTTGGTGAGGTTACCAGGTTGACATCACACTGTGTGTAGTCAGGTATTTCTTTCTTTTTTGAAACTTTTTTCTTGAATCACTGTGAGATAGACCATTCAGGTATTTCTTCAGAGCAAGTCTGTGCTTTTCATGAAAGATGTTTTTTGATGTAAGCTGAGTACTATTGCAGAGAAGGAGGGGAAAGGCAATGAGGAAGATGATTAAGAGATGAAAGACAGTGTTTAGCCCTAGGGCTTAGATTTGATGCCCGGTGCTTAAGTCTATGATTCTCTAGAGAAAGAACCAGGAAGTGGCTAAGACAGTTTTACTGACTGCTTCAGTTCGCCCTACTGGAAAGAAATAAAAACAGGAAGGAATGTTTCATTCTCTATCTCCAGGCTCAGAGTAGGTTTTCATTTCATAGCCTTTGATTTTCATTCCTGAGAAGTTTTCTGCTCAAAAGAAACAAAGAACTTTATCTTAAATTTACATGATTAGCTCTTTAATTTCAGAATTGCATTTAAAATTACAAAGGTATGGGGCCAGAAGAATAGTACAAGAGGTTAACATGTGCCTTGAATGCATCTACCCAGGGTTCAGTCTCCAGCATGGGGTTTTCCATCTCCCCAACAGCACCAAGATTGGTCATTGAGCACAGAACCAGGAGTAAGCACTGAGTACTGTCAGGTATGGCCTCAAAACTAAAAATAAGCGAATGTAATTAGAAAAATATCAAAAATTAAGAAAATGGAAAATAATGCTATTTATATTTCCATAACTTAAAATTAGCCACTGTTGATATTTTGGTTACATTTTTCCAATATGCATCCTATGCATATTTTCCTGCTATTAAGGATCAGATTGTCCTTATAATTTTGGATCCCCCATGAAATTTTTTTCCTGTTAACATAGTTACTGTAACATCATGATTGTCTCACATTTGCAAATGAAAACAAAGTGCAAATGAAAACAACAGCGATTGTCTCATATCTTTGTAAATGAAAACAAGTGCATAATTTAAAACCATGTCAATAGGCTTATCAGGGTTTGCTTAATTATCCCTCTTAGGATGTTTTTTATTTACTACTGTTTTTTTTTATTTACTACTGTTAAAAATAACACTATTTATCTTAGACCATAAAGTCAAAAGACAAGAATTTGGACGCATGACTTTGGGTAGTGCTATTGCTTCAGAATGAAAAGTTTGG